TTAAGAACATTTTCACTGACCTCTTTGATGAAATCATAACCAGAGACATAATAATAATGCAGGGACAGACGTTGTTGGGTCAATATGCATGTCTACCACCTGTAGTTTACGACAAACTCTCAGGGATTGGGACGGTAGCCACCTTGCTCATCAGGACATCAAACTCACCACAGTTTACATCAACAAGTATTTAATAAATGCTGAATTAATAAACCTCAAGTAACGATGACTGAGGAGCTCTAAGTATTACTGAAATATCATTGGTTATATGAGGAGTAAAAACAATAACTGTAACAAAAACGAACATCAAATGATGGGTTGTCTCATCTCATCAGTATCCTCTGATTATAATATGTTGGTTTGCCCAAGACATCCCTCTAAGTACAAGGAAACCATTAAACAAAGGAGATGTTCAAAGGAAATATAGGCCATCTCATAAATACTAAGAGGATGTTGTACTTTCCCCCAAAGAAATATTGATAATTCACATGGGTTTCTACTGTAAGCCATTAAAAAAAATATCCAGGGGTCAGAGTGATAGTACAGCAAGGTAGGCATTTGCCTTGCATATGGCCAAGCAGGGTTCAATTCCCCAGCATCCCATATGATCCCCTGAGCCTGCCAGTAGTGATTCGTGAATGCAGAGCCAGGAGTAACCCGAGCATGGCTGGGTGTGACCCAAAAAGTCAAAAAAGAAAAATAATTTTTTTTAAATATCCAGGGGGCTAGAGAGAGCACAGAGGGAAGGGTGCTATACATACACTTTCATTCATTGGAGTTCTCTATTCACCTGACTGAATGTTCCAGACTTATCTCTTCTATAACCATGTATTTCTTTACACACATTAGTCAATTTAATTAGTAATTCTGCTTTGTAGACTAAATACACTAAATACTGTGTTACTTTTTTTCCAATGGCTCAACGTCAGTGTTATGGCTGCTGTGCCTTATTCACTCTGCCTCTGGTTTTTAATTTTTATAGGGGGAGCTTTTAATGTCCCCTTTCTAGATATGAGCCAGTGTACTGTAACTTTGTCATGCTGACTGCTAAGAGCTTTCCATCTAAAGTCTGTCAATTACAACCATTCCTAACATAAGATTTAATAAGCTCTGATTCCAACTCCCAAGCTTTGAGTACATCGCTTTTACGACAGCTATTGCAGATTTTAGCTACGATGACAGCAAGTCTGACTTACAGGTAAGTATGGTAATTACCTAACCAACTTAGAAATCATCTATTTAATTCAAAGTTTACCTGTAAGATCTTATCATTGTACACATCAGGCACATATATAAGTACGTGGAAAGCTCACTTTCTTGATGAAGACTATTCCTAAATCCACGTTTCATACCGTGACACCAAGATGATTCTCTATTCACCTTATTTTTATCCCATTGTTTCTCCCCCCAAAAAGAATGCAATGCAAAAATAAAGGTTTATGTGATACTTCCAACACAATTCCATGAACTTTTGTCTACATTAATTTGTGTAACAAAACTATCCACTGTTTAGGTAAAGACACTCAGATGTATATGATAAAGCACTTTGCTAGAGGTCCCTAATCAAATTGTAGGGAAGCTTGAATTTGAACCCAGGCAATCTTGCTCTGAATCTGTGCATCAGACTCTACTCTAGTACTCTTGAGAACATTAATTCGAAGGAAACATTGACTACATTTTGTTCATTACTGAAAGCCCCAGTGCTTTTATCTAAATGACTTTGTAGCTCCACTCCAGTGATCCACTCACTTGCCTCAGTTCAATCTCTGTCTTCAAAGTTTGACTGGCTCTGACACGTAGAGTTTAATTCCAGGTCCTCTTTATACCTTCTCAAGGCCACAGGTATCATTTTCTTTTGACATATCCTCATCTGACTTGGCACCCCAGACTTACCAGTCAATGAATACTTTGCATAAACCAGTATTTTACCTGTATAGATCAGCTTCTTGTTATTATCATGACTTGATCAAGCAGTAATTTGTGATACCATAAAACTGCACTTGCTAACAACATCATAAGATTTTCACCCTCTGTGAGCTGACCACAGAAATGTTACAATTTTAACTTTTAATGTGTTTACCTGTTGTTTGTAAGACTTTCTTCTTTTTTTTTTACAGTTATGAAAGATTCTTTTAATTGAAAAAAACTTCAGGGGGGTGGTGGGTTAGGGGAGATGGGAGGGAAACTGGGGACACTGGTGCTGGGAAATGGACACTGGTGGAGGGATGGGCATAGAAATTCTGTATGGCTGAAACCTAATCATGAACAGCTTTGTGAGGGTCTATCTCACAGAGACTTTATTCTTCTTAAAGAAGTTTTAAATTTATAAAAAATTTGAGAAGTGGGGCTGGAGTGATAGCATAGGGGGTAGGGCGTTTGCCTTGCATGTGGTTGACCCGGGTTCGATTCCCAGCATCCCATATGGTCCCCCAAGCACCACTAGGTGTAATTCCTGAGTGCAGAGCCAGGAGTAACCCCTGTGCATTGCAGGGTCTGACCCAAAAAGAAAAAAAAATTGAGAAGTTCAGAGAATGCTCATATACCTCCCTATCCCTCATGCCTACATATGCAGCCTTCCAGATTTTCAACATCACATCTCAATGGTATATTTCTTACCAAAGGTGAATCTACTTAAAAATTTTATAATCACGCCCAATCCACAGTTTAACATTCATTCTTGGTACTACACAGATGACTACATTTATTCATCAATATCATATAGTATTTTTGCTATCCTAAAAATCCAGGTTCTTTTGGGGTCAAAGAGATGGTGCAGAAGACAGTGCATTTGCCCTGCATGTAGCTAATGCAGGTTTGATCCCCAGCACTGCATATGGTCCTCCAAACTTGGACAGGAGTGATCCCTGATCATAGAGCAAGAAATAGGTTCTAAGAACCACTGAGTGTTTCCCCAAAACCAGAATAAAAGTCCACATACTTTTATCTATTTTCTCCCTTCTACCCACAAACATAGAGAACCTTTCACTATTTTATTATTTCCATAGTTTTGCCTTTTCCAAAATTCCAGAGTTGGAATCATTTATTATACAATTTTTGAGATTGGTTCTTTCAATTACAATAATATTAATGGTTTCTCTAAGTATTTTCATTGACATCATAGTCCTTTTTATTTTTTTTAGAATACCACTTTATCATCAAAAAATATTTTGCGATGGGGAGAGGGGTTTGGGCCATATCCTTCAATGTTCAGGGATTACTCCTGGCTTTGCAGTTAGGAATCTCTTCTGGCAGAGCCCAAGGAACCAGATTGGATGCTGGGGATTGACTCTGGGTCAGTCACATGTAAGGCAAGCATCCTACCCACTGTACTATCACTCTAGCTCTCATAGTTGTTTTTCTTTAGCACTGAATAATATTCCACTCCCTGCATGTATCAGTTTTGTCATTCATTCAGCCTCTGAAGGACATCATGGTTACCCGAAAGATTTGGCCATTGTAAATGAAGCTACCATCAACATCCATTTTCAGTTTTCTATTTTCTAAATGGGAAAATTTACTAAGTATTTACAAATTCACTGAGTACTTAATATGGATTATGCACATTTAATCTCTAATCAATTCCAAAATGGGTGCTACTGTAACTCAACCTTACAGATAAGTAAACTGAAGATCAAATATATTTTCTGTAAGTCACAGCTAAAAAGCTAAACTCAGGATTCAAACCCATGCATGTCTGACTTGAATATTTTCTCTTGCAAACCATATAATACTGTTTTACATTTTGTATTTATTTCACAATTTCCAAGCTACATCATGCTTAGAGTTTGAAATATACGCTGAATTGAAATAAGAATTCCTACACTATTTCACAGTAGAAATACGAAGGGTCTGAAATCAATGTAAAACCTGTAAATTCAATACTCAGTTCATATTTCTCACTTTTATGGAACTAATAATGCCTTTTTTAAAAAGTAGCTTCTCATTTTAGAGGTTCATTCAACCAGCATTAGCTGTGTTCAGGGTTCTGTGCTACATACAACAATGCTTTTACTGGGAATCTGGAGGAAGAAACAGAAAAGTAATCTAGTAACACAAAGAAAACGACTAAGGGCATGAAAGTGAGGTTGGAAAAGAGGGCAGAAAACGGAGTCTGATTGAAGAGGAATGAGCAATAGGTGAAATGACCACAGGTGTAAAGACCACAGGTGTAAAGACCACAGGTGAAATGACCACAGGTGTAAAGAACGGCATATGTCTGTGACCAACCAAGCTGGAACAGCTGATGGATAGAAGGCCGGAAGGAACTTGGGTTAGGTTAATGAAGAATCTCTGAAGGAAGTGAAACACACACACACACAAAGGTCGGTGTAACAATTGAAGGGACAATTGGATCAGACAGGTTGACGAATTAAAGGGAATGGTGGAAAAGGATATGTGAGAATGATGGTTTGGGAACTGATTTGACAGCAAGCAAGAAGGTACAGCCCCGAATAATAAAAACGTGTTAAGATGAGGTAGGATGTATCCAAGATACGGTTTTGCTAACCCGATGGTGGGGAGGGGAGGGAATCCAGGGACAAAACGGTGTGATGGTGTGGAGGCAGGTGGCGTTCAGGACTTCCCGTGGAGTTTGAAAGAGTGTTGGATTGGGGGGGTCTGGTGCTTTTAGTGCGGTTGCCTGGGTTAGCGGTGGCCACTTTGCAGGCGTCAGCAGACACGTGGTCCTAAAGATACGCGAGGGGCCCGGATCACCACGTGGTGCAGCCAACTAGAGGGGCCGTTGCAGCAGCTTCGAAGGAGGCGGAGGGGGAAAGGCGACGCTCGGGAAGGAGCCGACACCCTGGGGCTCCCATGCAGCGACAACTGCTCCAAGGATCGGCTTCGTCGTCGGTGGCGCCTTCCCGCCCTCCGCCCGGCTACAGACCCCGGGGACTCCCCGCCCTGCCTCCTGCAGAAGGAGCGCCTGTGGGCGCCTCCCCCGAGACCGAGCCCTGAAGCGCGCGCCAGCACAGGGTAGCGGCCGCTGCGGCCCGACTCACCGCGCCGGAGGGAGGGGCCCTCCGCAGGCCAAGGTCTAAATCGCTCTTCTCATCGTCTCTACGGCCGCCACCCGCGACTCGGAACTGAGGGGCCGGGCCCGCCCTCCGCCCCAGCCCACTGCCGGCGCCCTCGACTTCTCACTGCCCGCTGCACCGTTGGCTTCTCAGTCACATTAGCCTTTAGGCCACCAACCGGCACCGGCTGAGCCAATGGTAACGCGCTTTCTTCGGCCTCGCCAGGAGCGTCGACCAATGGGAGGCAGCCATGCCGCGGTGTCCCGAGCACCTTAGCGACGGGTGACGCCGGGCCCGGGGTTGCCGTAGCAACCAGAGAACGCGCAGGTTCGGGCCCGGGGTGGCCTCCAGCGGGAGAGGAAGGTGGGGCTTAAGCCCGAAACGTAGGACCGCGGGTCCCTGGGCAGGATTCCGAAAGGCCAGGATAGGTTTTTTCCTGAACTTCCGCCCCCAACCAAGAATTGTATCAGGAATAACATGGGAGAAGGATGTTTTGATTAATTGCTACTAAAAACCAATTCTCTTCCAAAGGAAAGATGCTTTTAATTTTAAAAGGATCAAAGCAAAACGCTTGGGCACCCAAAGTTTCAGAAAATGAGTATATGCTGTTTTGAGAATAAGTGAATGCTCGTTTATTTTTGTGGCCTTAGGCAAAGTCTCTTCACCTATGAAAGTCTGAAACTTTAAAAAAATAGATTTGATGATTCCAAACTGTCCTTAGATTATGAAAATGATTAGAAAGACCTGGACGGTTTTTTTTTTTAATTCTAGTTATAAGATGCAGGCACAAGAAAATCTAAATTTTGCCCAACATGAGAAACTAGAAATGGAGGCAGAAAAGAAATGACAGAGCCCAGAGTTCAGTCTTAACCCTGAAGATGCTGCTTGGACTGTTTCTACCCAACTCCATCTTATTAGGACTCCTACAGCGGGTAGGGCGTGCGCCTTACAAGCGGCCAACATGGCCGACCCGAGTTCGATTCCTCCGCCCCTCTCGGAGAGCCCGGCAAGCTACCGAGAGTATTCGATATGCCAGACACAGTAACAACAAAGTCTCCAATGGAGACGTTACTGGGCCGCTCGAGCAAATCCACGATCAACGGGAGGGCCTTTACCTTTACTGCATCATTGAGAACATCATTACTGTGGTGATAAACTCTCCCCCAAAAGCAGATTTAAAATGAAGCAGTAATTCCTTCCCTGCATGTTTCTCTGCTTTAGAAAAAAGAGAGAGAGGGGAGAGGGAGAAGGGGGGGGAGGAAGGAGAGGGGAGAGAGAGAGAGAGAGAGAGAGAGAGAGAGAGAGAGAGAGAGAGAGAGAGAGAGAGAGAGAAAGGTAGGACCAAAAGGGTAACATGAGCTTGTGTTATTTGGAAAGAATTTAGAAAAATAAGACGGAAATCAAACTCTGGCATTACAGAAAGAAAATTTTAGAGTCCATCTAGCCAGTAGGATTAACGTGCCCAGGTCAAAAACAAAAAATGTGAAAAGTGAACTGACTGAAGCTGATAAGTATTCCCTAAACATTTGAACTAATGAACGGAAAAATCAATCTGATTCCACTCAACATATTTCTTCATAAAAAATATTTTTCATTTTTCTCCGAGAGGGGCGGAGAAATCGAACTCGGGTGGGCCATGTTGGCCGCTTGTAAGGTGCACGCCCTACCCGCTGTGCTATCGCTCCAGCCCGCCTTTACCTTTACCTTTACCTCCAATCAACAGAATAAAATCTTTTAACACTTTGACCTTCCCTGACTGTAGCTGACAGCTGCATTGAAGATGGAGACAAAGCCGACTGGCCTCTGGAGAGCGGTGGCAGGACTCCACCTGGTAAAGGTTCACACTGTTCTGCAAATCATGAGGATAGAGGCCCATGGGTGTCCCATGGTTTCATGAAGCTTACAGCTTTTTTGGTAAAGGCTCAAATCTGCAAAAGCCATCACCGTTTCAAAAAAAAAATTCCAGTACTTCTTTCACTATCCTCAAATTAATTCAGATAATATAAATTATTTTAAAATAATACAATGCCCTCATTCTAACAAAGAACAAACAGAAGTTAAACAGGGATTGAATTATATACTCAGAATGCATTTCACAGAAAGACAAAAACACTTTGCCAATTTTTAAAAATACTATAGGGACACTCATCTAGGGAGGCAATAAAGTATAATTATGTACAGTAAGGACTAATAAAGAATGCGCACAATTAAAACAAACAAACATCAGGTTTCCAAAAAAATGTTGTCATTAAAAATGGTTTCATAAGAAGGGACTAAAGAGATAGTACAGTGGGTAGGGAGTTTGTCTTGCATGCTGTTGATCCAAGTTTGATCCTCAGCATCCCATGTGGTCCCCAGAGCACTAACAGGAATAATTCCTGATTGCAGAGCCAGGAAAAACGCTTCAGCATCACCGGGTATGGGACCAAAACAACAGCACAATACACAAAAGCATCGAGATAAAAATGTAAAGATGAAACTTAGACCTGACACTCAAGAAATAAGCCAGGTGCTGCCAGCAGGTTAACTTGTACCTGCGGGGTGAGTGCATCAGCAGCCTGATGGTGCCTTCAGGCTTCCTGATAACCCCAAATTGCCGCTACACTTTTGGCCAGATCCCAATAACTTGGGGCCAAATTTAACAAGAAATTAAATGGCCAAAAGTTAGCTATGTGGGAGCCATGCCCACAAACCACCTCCAGCTCAGTTATACAAGCTCATTTATTGGCCTTATTTCAGAAACCCATAAATAAATCTTAAAAGAGATCAAAAGCCACAATTAATCTTGGACCCAAGCATGGCTGACCAGGGACAATTGGAGGGGGCTGGGTTGTCCAGGGGTTCGCCCAAGCAGAGCCCCCTACAGTCACAATCCAAATTCCCTGCCATATTCCCAGCCTGACCCCACTTCCTCAGGATGGATGTCACCAAGATATAATCTGCTGAAAATTTGGGAATGCAGGTTTTGTGACTGAAATCTCCAGGCTGAAATATCCCGACTGAAATCTCAGGGTTACCCCCCCCCCCGACACACACACACCTCCCTGTACTTCTGAAAGCATCAGCAGTCACATCCACACCCAAAGCAGCCACCCAACTGAAAAGCTACTCCAGCCTTACCATCCCAATAAAAATACCAAATGCCCTGAACACACACCATGTTCTCTTACCACCTGCATTGCAAACCACAATGCACAAATGGAAAAGGAGAGAGAGAGAGCAAGAATTCAAGTGCCTCCCATAGAAGGAGCTGGGGGTGGGGGTGGGGTGTTGTGGGATGGTGGTAGGGGAACAGGGGACATTGGTGATGGAAAATGTACACTGATGGAGGGGTGGGTGCTGGACCTTTGTATGAGTGAAATCCAATTATGAACAGTTTTGTAATGGTCTAGCTCACAAATATTCAATGAAAAAAACTTTTAAAAAAAGTTTTTAAAAGGTAATGTGGGGTTCATGACCAATTCAATCAATGGCTGAAAAACTAGCAGTATCCCTACATTAAAAAAAGAGAGTGAGAGTGAGAGTGAGAGTGAGAAAGAGAGAGAGAGAGAGAGAGAGAGAGAGAGAGAGAGAGAGAGAGAGAGAAGCCAGAGCTTTTTACAGTCAGCTAAGTTTCCTTTCCCTCGTTCCCCATAAAACAAAGAAAAAACCACCCAAGTTCAATACCTGGGAATAATAAATGATATCTTTGGGGGAAAGGTTACAATATATAACTTTGGAGACACCAGGTTACTCATGGATTACTCCTGGCTCAGCTCTGGAATCACTCCTGATGATGTTCAGGGAACCAGATGCATTACCAGGGATCAATATGGGGTCAGCTATGTGCAAGGTAAACTCTTCAACAACCTTGTTCTATTTCTTCAGATTAAAAAAAAATTCCTGAGAATAAATGCAAATATAATTTTCAGATCAATTTTAAAACTGTAAGACTGTTCCTCCATATTACTTCCAACAGCTATTGAAATATGTTGAGGTATTAGTTTTTTCAGTTCATAAAACATAGGCAGAAGGTGTCACATATACATAACATGAAAACAAACAAAGACCTGTCCTTTTTCTTTTTTGGTGGGGTGGGAGGCTACCTGGCCAGGCTAAGTGGTTATTCATGGACTTGCCATCAGGAGTCCATATGTGTTGACGGGGACAATCTAGGGACAATGCTGCAGATGGGCAGGCGGGGCACACTAAGTGTTACTATATCCATTGCATAAAACTGCTAAATTCTAAACAAGTGAATCAAATTAAAGAAAATAATGGACCAGTCTTTCTTAAAGGGAGAATTAATTTCAGTATCTAACTATAAAAATGATATTGTGAAAAAAATATACATATATAAAATTGTGTTCCATTGATTCACACCATTTCCCCTTTCTGTCGCCTACAGCGCATGAGTAATCGAATATAAAATACATTAATATTTGGCAGGGGGTGAAAATGACACATTTTCATCCACTCTCTATACTCCCTTACTCTATGCAGATCTTCTAATAGTCAAAATACAGAGGAATGATAGTATCCAACAAGTTCAGTAGACTTTTATTGCTCTTTCACTTCAATAACATTTCCAAAAAATAGGGTTTTTTTTAACAATTATGAAACAAAACTGAAAGGCAGGATCATTCACATTATAGACTTCATAGAGACTAGTACTTCATGTAAATGAAAATATCAGTTCTATTTTCAATGTTTAATTTACTTTGGATTTTATTACAAAAGAAAATATTGTAATTATAAAAGTCATAAAAATTCAAACTGTGAAATTATGTCAAGCTATCAAATATTATATAAATGAATAATAAATTTCAGTTTCTATTTATTTAAGCATAGTAAACATTGGAAGATGATAGCCCCCCTAAAAAAAACAAAACAAAAACTTTATTATTAAAGCAACAAAAGAAAAGCCACAACTGAAAACCAATCTATGCACAAAAATCTGATTGAAAAAATACTGGGGTTTAACAATTTCTTTATATGAACTACAGAAGTTAATATGTTTTAATATGTTTAAATTAAACTTTAAAAATGATTTCACCTCCAACTATGTATTTCTGTCATTAAACCTATATTACCTTTTGAAAGGCTAGAAAAGAGCCAACTTTACACTAAAGTTACCAAAGTTCGAATTTTAAACACTAGTGTAAACTTTGAATGTTCTTAGTTTTTAAATTTATTCTCTAAAAAATAAATAATTGGATTAAACCAAAATATTTCACACATTTGTACTGTATACAATAACAATGATGTGATCTACATAAATATATTTAAAACATTAAGTTATTTAATTTAAACATTTTGAATTACAATGTTTCATCAATGGCTTACACATCCGAAATCTAAGCACTTCAAAACAGGGTTCACATGTAAAATGGTTGAACACATTTACAGAATTAATATAAATGATACAATCCTTTAAAAATGGCAAGCTCTGGTGTTAGATCTCAGTTTCAGAAACCATATCCTTTTTTACAGAATTTTGAACCTGTCTTTGGGAAAGGAAAAAATTAGAAAGTTATTATAATACACACATGAACTTTATGTGGAGAAACAGAAATGGATTTTGGATGGCAAAAAACCAAGCTAATAATTTTGAGTGGCAAAAAAAATCTGCTTTATAAATACATGCATTAGCATATAAAAAAAGTCTGTCCTGCACACTTTACAGAAAACTTGGCAAATATGAACATTGGTACACCACAGCTTTCTAAAACAACTTAAGAAATTTAAGATTGATAACATCATTTCCAAACACATTCATACACTGCCTCTGTCTTTCACACACAACACACACACTAAAGATTGCATGTTTCATTTCAGCATATTTAATATTATTAGATAATATATAGACTCACTCTTTTACCATAAGGAAGTTCATTGTTTTCTCAAAAGCTGCTATTTTAAAATGAAATAGCATTCAAAAGAAAGTAAATTTCATATGGTCAATATCTGGATTCATTATACTCTTTGTAAACAGACATCTATAAAATAAATAAAATAGGATAGGGAGAAGAATATCCTGAGGTTGCCCTGCAGCCAGGGTAATTCAGTAGCACTAAGCTCCTTCCTGGAAACCAAGGCATCTAAGAAAGTGCAGGCTTGTTTATATGAATTTATTTTGTAAATGGAATATGTACAGGTTTAATTATTTTGCACCTTGAGGTAAATCAGTACATAGCAATTACTACTGCTCATTTACACCTATTTAAGGCAACATTTATAAACTAATATATGCAGTAAATTATATTTTTCACTGTCTTGAAATGAATGTTAACCATGATTTTATTTTTTAAAAAGTGGAAAAAATATCAATAGCCATGTAAAACAAGCAGTCAATTACTTAAATGAGTTACCTTCACTCTTCAATGGAGTAGTCATATCAGATCATTTTGTAAGTCAAGTAGTCAAAAGAAAGCAGAAACCATTAACAATTAGAAACAGTAAAAATATTTTGAGTGCAAAGTATTTTGCAAGTCATGGTTTTTCTGGCACTGGAAAATTACTATACATAATTAAATAAAATCACAGAAAATCTATGATGCCAGGTAGTTTTCAGTTTAAAATTTAAAATCACTTCCTGAAGAATAAGTGTATTTGTTAACCCTATGATGACCAACAAGAAAATGATGTGAGGAAATCCTCTTGGTTCAGATACATTAGCAGAATTTATAAAATAGCAGCAAATACTGGGGTCTTTGGAAATTACTATGCTGCTATGAATAAGAAGGAAAATCACTTCAATGGAAGCTCCTAAACAGTAACAAGCACCATGGGTAATATTCTATTATTAATTGCCAATAGAGTCTAACTCTTTTAGACACAGTACCAAATGATGCCAGCTATATTTTCTAAATAAGTTATATTTCCAACCTCTCATCTAAGACATAACTTGAATCCATTTTATAACCAGAATCTGATGATATGGTCTCAGATGGGAACCGGTAGTTTGGATTATAAACACCTTAGAATGGCAAAAATATCAGTTTTTGGCATTTCTCATGATCCTCTAGGATCAATTCTTCATACTTCTATATTTATTTCAATTAAAAATAATTAAAGAGAGAATTAGAATCTCAATAAAATTTTCATCCTAATATTCATATCACCATTTTTTATATTTCTGTGGCTTTTCAATACTCATTTGGTTTTTATAAGTTATCCTCTTGCCAAATCAGTTCCATAACCCCATTCATCCAGTCCTACAGGCTTATGAAGAATATTTATTTCATGTAAAGAGTATAAAAGATGACTAAAAAAGGTTTACTAAAAGTAAAAAAAAATCTCAGAAAATCAGAAATTAACAAATACTAACAAAATAGAAAGAATGCAATCAATCTGAGCTATACATGTCTAAATTCCTTTTAAAATACAAATATGGCAGTGCTTTAATATCAAAAGAATGTGAAATCTATCAACTGCTATCAGATAATAAACCATAAATGAAAGTGAGCACCAATTATTTACAGTAACAATTTACTCTAAGTCTGTTACATTTTCAAATGTTTATATACTATCATATTAAAATATTTTAAGATTAAATCATGGAAAACAATCTTTTAAATATCATCTGCATATAAAGTAATACTGATCATAAACCCATTTAAGAGAATTTTGACTCCTGATTATTCAATTATACTATTCATAATGCAAAAACAATCAAGATTTTTGAGCCTGATATAAATTAATAATTTAAGTAAAAGACAACAAAGGCAGAAAAAGAGTGGGCATTGTGGATTCTTATAAAGAATTAGGATTTAAGAAAACAACTCCACAAAATGCAAGAAAAACAAACTATAATAAACTAGCTTCTACAGCTTCTAAAATTCGTAATGTTTTGGCTGGTTTAGGGGCTAAATTATAAAATTATCTGTGATTTTACTTCTCTATCAAAATGGAAACCTGAAAGTTTCTAAGGTTTTAATATTCTAAGATTAAAAAAAAAACATGAAATCACAAAACTACAGTTTTTATCAAGAAAGTTTCCATTGTCCTACCTTCTATAACCAAAAAATTCCATCACTTGTGGTAACATGAAGGACATCTATATAAGTAAACTACAGTTAAGCCATGACATGTTACTGTTTGTCTATAGAACTGGCATAAAGACTCCCTGGACTTCTCTTAAAGCACTAAAAGAAGTGAAACAGTATGGGGAAACTTTTAGTAACTCAAGTAAAAATTATAAACATCTAAAAAAGCACATTATCACTTAATTGACACTAATGAACAAATAGATTTAAAGAAAAATAGATTGCATTTTCCACATCGATCTTTTACAGGAAAAAAAATAATTTCCAACATAATAAATATCTAAATACTAGGAATCATGTACCTCACTTCTAAGAGACCATTTCATAGTATACACAGTCTTCATGGTGCTCCTAATAAACTTCACACACTACTTCAAAAAAAATCCAGTAGTCACACATAAACAGCATGACATACAATATTGTTATATACAGTGATATGAAAACATACACATAATATATATATGTATACATATACATATATGTCTGTATATCTATATATAATTCCTCCTGGTTTCATTCTATAATGACGTTTCAGCATCCATGTATTTCTTTGTTGATTCATCTTCAAAATCAATTTTCACACTCTCAGATTTTTCAGGGCTATTTGAAACAAAGAATAAGAATATTATATTCTAAACATGACCAACAGTAAGTTTTCATAATAAATCTTTTAAAATGACTATTACTATAAAATCTGATCTGGTATTCTATTGCTTTTTCATATAGTAAACTAAAAGGGAAGAAATATTTTAATGGATTGGTTTTCCCGTTACAACTTTAAGATTGGTCAGTATTCAAAAAATGATCAGTATTTGACAATGTTTATTAGTTTTATGTTATATAGCAGCTTTTGACTTTCACTGATAAAGTCAGTGAAATAATCTTTATTAATACAAACAATATAAAAAAAAGTGACAGCCCAACCACCGCCATGCTCCAGGATGCTTTCCAGACCACACAACACAATATAAGACACTTCCTGACCATTTATGCCTCTTGGAGAGCCCGGCAAGCTACTGAGAGTATCCCACCTGCACAGGCAGAGTCTGGCAAGCTCCTGTGGCATATTCGATACGCCAATCACAGTAATGACAATAGGACAATAGGTCTCATTCCCCTGATCCTGAAAGAGCCTCCAATCATTAGGAAAAGATGAGTAAGAAGAGGCTGCTAAAATCTCAGGGCTGGGAGGAATAGAGATGTTACTGGCACCCACTCGAGTAAACCAAAGAGATCAATGGGATGACAGTGATACAGTGATACAGTGAATATAAACAAAGTAATTTCCTACAAAATACAACAAATTTACAAATCCTCCCCTTTTTGCTTCACAAACAAAAGGTCAAAACACATTATTTTTAAATTCCAATATTATATATATGGATTTAACTGACTTAATTTATTCTTAACAAGAATATCTGAATTAAAAAACAATAGAGTATAGAAACACTAATGTTTGAGCTTTGCCAGCAAAACTAAAGGTTATCCCCTCAACTTTTTTTCTGTTACACAACATAACTCAGGATTCTCATTGTTCCCACTGAATGAAAAGCACAAGTGTTAAAGATACAATACTAATAAAAAATCTTTGCTTTTATTAGAACTATACATGGCAAAAGGGATGTTGACAAAAATGTAAAAAATTACTCAGAGTATTTAGTGAAATTCTGGCTACATCAATAAAAATTTAACTTAAATAATTAGAACTCAAGAAACGACAGAAAAGAAAAAGGTGATGATATTAAAAGTCAGAGCAAGGTTATAAATTAGGAAAAGAGTAAGAAGAATATCGATCACTACCAACCACTACCAAAGTGTGTTCAGAAAGTCAATAGACACATAGCTACATAAGACAAATTGCTACCTCTGAGAATGCCAATCTAATGCCCAAGCAGAATACAATACAGTGTTTGGCACAAAGCGCACACAAAGTAATTGTTGAATAGAAGTGTCTGTGCCTATGTATCTAAACGATGATATACCTCATTCCTCCCCAAACCTAAAGGATTATAAGAGCTATGACCAAGCTACAATCCCTGAAGGCTCAGATTTTCAGAACAGCAAGAGATGGGGTGGGGGTGGGGTGGGGGAGATTATACAACAAGAATAGTAAGGAAGCAGTTATATAATAGTTTCTGTACATGGCCCAACAAAACAGAATGGTCTTTATTATATTTTATTTGCTTGTTTATTTAATTTTGGGTCACACCTGGCGGTGCCAGGGCTTCTTCTGGTTCGGGGCTCAGTGATCACTCCAGGAAGGTCTTTGGAGAGGAGCTGAGGGGAAGGAACACCACCCATAGGGATGCTGGGAATTGAACCCAACAGGCCACATGCAATGTAAGTGTCCTACCCCCTGCACTATGACTCCTGCTTTGGCTTTCATATACGTAAACAACATTTCTCTCAAACATCTAAAATAAAGTTTACCCGCAGAGTAGGTTGAAGATGGGGATATCCTAAAAAAATCAAGCCAATGAAGGAAAACAATGTTCTTTTGTTTAAAAAACTTGGACCACCAAAAAGTATAATTGAGGTAATATTCAATTACATTATTTAATCCCTAGTAATTCTCTTCCTTTATGTGGTTTCTGAATCTAGTTAATTTATATATGTGTGTGTGTGTGTGTGTGTGTGTGTGTGTGTGTGTGTGTGTGTATGCACTACCGATGTATTTGTTGATTTATTACAAAATAGTTCTTTTTTGATAAAGGCAGCTATAGGTTTAAAAGATAACAATGTTTATTATAAAATAGTTCAAATTCTTTTTGATAAGGGAACTAAAGGTTTAAAAGATAACAAAACACATCATCAGTACCTATATGATTCCAGTACATAATAAAATAAAATAAATGAATAAATAGAAGAAAGAAAGAAGAAATAAAGGTTGATTTTGTTAGGATATAATACAAATTAAATTTAGTTAAACTTAAGGGTTGTATTAAATAGCTATTCATAAGAAAATGGAAAATTGGCTACAGTTAGAAAATACGCAAATAGTTACAGCTACCTCGTGTTAGCTCTGGTTACTTTGGCATTCTCAGTATTCATGGAAAGTGCCTTCCACTGTGCAGTTTTGGCCATTTCATCTGATATATTAACAACTGAGGGATCATCACTGAAGAATAAATACACTTTCTGGTTAGTATTCAGTACTTGCAAAAGTATTAATACTATCATTTTTATTATCTACATATGTTTTCATCTACTTAAAACTTAAAGAAAAAATATTTTCAGCATTTAAATCATGGGCTAGCAAGACAGCAGAACTGTGGAGTTCTGTTATGAACATTTCTCAGAGAACTGAATTTTTCTTCATAATTAAAACTAAGCATAAAATTAAATTGGTAAAGACATTCAAAGATTATCTAGACTGAGTATACCATTAAAATAACAAAAGAAAATATTAACGTGCTTATAAAAATAAGACTCAAGGCAATTAGAACAATTTTTAGAATATTTACAATTTCAATCTCCTCAAATAAATATACAAAACCTAAGAAAAATTAAGACTAAGATTTTTTCAACTTTTTTAAAAAAGTTTTTAAAAACCATTAAAAAGAAAAAGAAGACAATGCAGAGAGGGACCAGGGATGCTACTCAGTAATATAGAGTATAAAATTTGCCTGTATGAGGATCTGTTTTATTCCTGACACCAAAAAAGACAGAAAAAAGAACTTTGAAAACTGAAAATAGGGCTCTAAAAATATATTTCACTGAATAATACAGATAATGCTTTTAGGAGGCATTAACATTTGAATAGCTGGAGTGTTATTTATCCAAGGTATTGTCCTTACTATATAGGATAAATCTAACTATCCCATATATTTAATAAGTATTATAAAAATTGCTTCAAGATCCCCAATCCAGTATTAATCAGACCCATAATTTTTTTTCTATTTCAAAATTTTTATTTTAGTCACCATGAAATTGGTTTCAGACTTACAATGTTTCAACACCAGGCCCTTCTCCAGCATCCAATTCCTTCCACCATTAATCCACCCCACCCCACCCCCATTTGTTTCCCATCCCACCCACTAGTCTTCCTCTAGGAAAGGTGCTTTTTTTTCATATATGTTTCTGCACTGTGGTTTACAGCACTGTAACTGGTAGGGTTTCATGCACAACACTTGACCACTTGACCATCCATAGCTATTGCCCCTTCCTCTCCTATCCCCTTGCCCTCACCCTGCTCCTTTCCTGCTGAAGACCAGGTAGGTCCTCATGTTCTTTGTTTTCATTGTAACTCTCCCTTTCAAAGAACAGACTTCACCAGACAATTCTCCATCCATCTCTCACCCTCATCCTCTCTCAGCTAACAGCCTCTCACCTTCATTTATCCTTGGGCCTATTGTAGACTAGCTTTGGACCCAACTATCAGACCCATAAATTGAGGTTCAAAATAGTTAGCTGCAAGTACTACCAAGTTAACAGAAATATTTTGCAAGGTCGTTTTCTTCACCTAAAGAAATTTCGTGCAAACAAATAATAAACACAAATGTCAGAGTAGATACTATATTAAAAATGTGGTAGCAATTAGGAATGTAAATGACTAGCAATTACCTCTGACTGCTGTGTTGATACTTTAAATTAAAAATATCTTTTTTAAAATTTTCACATCACAGGGTGAGAAGAGACAGTACAGAAGACAAGTGTTTTTGCCTTCTCTATAGCCCACTTCCTTCCTCAGCACTGCATATGGTCCCTTGAGCATCATCACCAGCTTCAAGCACTGCAATGTGTGGCCTAAACCCCAATTCCTCCACCAAGTTTCTTTGTTTGGTTTCCATCTTCAAAAAGCACATTTTTTCAAAAGCTCTCTAGCTTTCATGTGCTCTCTTTTAAGTTAAGAGCTTCCCATTAAGGATCAGAGAAATAGTTCAACTGACTGGAGCACATGCTTAGCATGAAGGAGTCCCAGTCTGATACCCCTCATTGCAAGATCCATGTGTCACCCTGTGCCCAACACCACAGGGTGTGACCCCAACTTCAACATCTCCCTCAGCACTAAGCCAACTCAGAACTATTCCCTGAGTGCTGCTGAGTATTGATAAAACAATTAAAAAAAGTTTTTAAAGAATTTTTCTATTAATATAAATTAAGATCTTTCATAAAGTAGAAATTTTGTTTCTCCTTAAATAATATAAATGGAAAAAATCTGTCTACATTATTATTTTTTTATTTTTCCTATTTTATAAAACTCAACAGTTTCCATCTGATTCCACATAAATATCTGATTTTAAGCCAAACCTATATGGGATTTAAAACTCTTGGCATTACTGATGTCCAAACTCTAGCAAAGTAGCAATAACCAAGTCTTTATCATCATTTAAAAATGGATAGAGATGTCCATTGTTTCAGTTTAAGTGTTTCTATCAACAAAACTGTCCCAGTCCATGGCGAATCAAACCCCAAGACCTACAAAAATTAAGTAGCAAATAATTTCAGCAAATTAATTTGAGTCACTAATAACTGTCAGGGCAGTTGCTATACTCTTTAAAAGCACAAATAACAAAGTAAAAAGCAGAACATTATAGTGGATATTAAGATTGCTATAACTGGAATTTAAAATATTTATTTAACAGAAAACCATGAAAGGGGACAGAATAATACCAATGATAAAAGTTAACAGTACAGAGAAAAAGTTACTTAATAAATCCACTTAAATAAATCAACATACATAAAAATATTTCAAGTATGGCCTATGAAAACTGAGAAGATGGGGCCAAGGCAGTAATATATTGGGAAGGGTTCTTGCCTTGCACACAGCAAATTCAAGTTTGATCCTGGTATTTCATATTGTCTCCCAACCCATGCCAACATAATCCCTGAGTACAGCCAGGTGTGGCCCCAAAACAAACTAAAAAATCCTTAAAAATTAGGTTATGATATAAGATTGAAGGCAAGTTAATTAAGTATAAATGATATTTATTAACTTCAGAAAGAGACATATATCTTTCCTAAAACTGCTTTTCTATGCAGTGAGCTTTTCTACTATACAGCTAATAAAAATGAATCTAGAATGAGGAAGCACATATTTACACAAGTAAATCTTTCAAGCTTACAAAAAAGGTTCATAAAAATCAACTTCTATTTCTTAAATTTAAATAAAAATCATAAATTACAAAACTAGGACATAGTATGAAACTCAATTTTTTTCATATATAAGGTCTTATTACAAACGGTCAAACAATCTCTTTGGAAATGAGCATAGTTTTAGGGTTTTTGTACATTTTAAAGGGATATTAGATAATGGATTATAAATGCTTGATTTCAAGTGCACTCTAACTAACCCCTGGAGAAATAAGGTGGGGAAAGACTATACTACTGTAAGCATGGAAATAATTCTAACTGATGAACTGACTGTATTTATTTGGGATTTGGGGGCCACTCTGGCAGTGCTCAGAGGCTGCTCCTAAGCCATGTGGTGCCAAGGATCAAATCGGGTCTCCTGCTTGCAAAGCATACACGCAGGCCATCAAGCTATCTCTCCCACCCTCAAATACTAACTTTAGACTTCACTGAAAAATAAAGTGATGAAAAGGCAAATAAATCCTTTCTGCTTGCCACAAAAGTTAAGTTTAAGGCTCAGGTTCAAGCTTAGATCATGCTTTACTCCTGTCTACAACCTAAATGGGGAAGGAGAGCAAGACATCCTTTAGAAACAGCATGAAGATCCCCTGTAATTGATCTAGTAAGAGGCAAATTTTATCATCTTCTTAAAATTTCATCACTACTTTAAAGAAGTACTGCATAACTTTTTCATGTGCTCAATAGATATAAAATTTACATTTTACAAAATAAAGATATATCTCACCTGTATTTTAGGGCTTTAACCGGAATTTGCAACAGACTTCCCCTTTCAAATGGAAGGTGCACAGTATCATCCCCAGCTTGAAGCATTCGCTCGGCCTCCTTTAGAGCACACACACAAAGAATTACTTTCCCCAAAATATTTCCAGGAAGACCAGCCAAGGAACAAGAATCCCAAGTTGATGAAAATATTGAAACAGAGCCCACCTGCTATGACTAGACAATACATTTGACTATGGATGACACACTTGTAGCATAAAGTGAAAACTACTGTTTGCCAAGAATAGTTCTTAAAATGCTTTATCTTTTATTTCTGTAAGGAAATCAAAACTTTTTTTTCAATTTACCTACATAAATTTAGAGAGGAGCTATTTACCATAAAGTGATTGAAATGGAACCTGATAGTAGGTATAACATAATAAAAGTAAAAAAATAAATGTTATAAATGAAAAAGGATTGAAAGAATTTTTTCACCTCTTTCTCTTTTTTTTTGTCATCTTCTTTTTTTTTCTTACTCTCTGGCATTAGATCATCAAGCCAACTAAGTTCTCTCTTTGTGAAACACAGGTCCATGAGTTTTCGTATAAAGACTAATGCAAGAACCTCAAAAAAAAAAGTAGAGAAAAATTTAAGTATTATCTGGAGATACATAAATTGCAACACTTATTGTTGGAGAAGAAAATTACAAATATCAAAAAGTACATACATTTTATCAAAAATATCTCCATCCACCATCTTTTTCCAAAGAACTATGTTACCTTTTTAACTTTTTTATTATATGTCATTTTCAATGCCTTCTTAATAAATCTCTTGCATTTCACATAAAATTATAATGGTCAACCGTGTTCATTATTATCACAGTAGAAGAAGACCATTTTCTATTTTCTATGATTACTTTATAATTACATTGTAAGTATTGTAAGTACACATAGCAAAAAAAAATTAGCAACATACTAAGAGAATCCATTTTTCTAGCATTACATTTTAGCTTATTAATCATATTTGTGGAAAATATCACTTTTATTTGCATTTCTTTACCAAGTTAACACATGAGGTGCTGAGGGATCACTCCGGATAGTGCTCAGAGGACCGCATGTGGTGACAGGTCCCAAGCAAGACAAGTTAATCGCTAGTTTGCCTCTCTGGCTCAAATTTGCTCTTAATGGCCAGCATTGAAAAGATTTTCAAGAACTATTACTTTTTCTAACTTTTGATAGTTTAATTCATTTTTATAACTGTTGCTCATTAACTGGTAAAGGTAAAGGTAAAGGCCCTCCCGTTGATCGTCGATTTGCTCGAGCGGGCCCAGTAACGTCTCCATTGGACTGGTAAGAATTCTTTATAATTTGGATACAAATCTTTTACTGGTCTTAAAAACTATACAATATTTATATGAAAGGTTTTCTCAAAGTTCACAATTTGATTTTACATCAATGGTATTATAGTTAGGCTTTCCTACCTTTTTTCAAAAATGATCGTAAATGTTGCAGAACATTTACAATTATATATGATGTAGTAAATGTTCTACTACATGTAGTAAATGTTCTAACACAATGTATTTTAACATTGGAATCCTAAATTACAAATCTTTTCAAATATGCAATCAGAGAGGTGGGGCAACCTTATTTGGTTCCCAAAATATAGTCAAAACTTTTAATATCGGCACAGAATCTTCCAATGTAAGTGGATTATCATCATTTTTTAAATGAAAAGATCTTATGGTATTTTTTGGTAAACATCTGGAAATATCAATTCATTTTTTGGAGCCATTTGTCTACTCTAATGCCAATTCCATATTGTGACTGGCTCTACTGAACCAGACAGCCTTTCATGCACAAGAGCCTGAGCTCAATCCCTGGTGCCCTCAGCACTTTTATGATGGTCCCAGCTCAGGTGGGTCCAAGAGCCAATGCATGGTCAGACAGGAGCACTGAATTGCAGACCCTGATAATTAACTATCGCTGTGAGCAGTATGAATAGCACTGGGAGATTGAGATGCTTGCCTTAGGATCAGGCAAGACTGAGAACACCTATACCATACAGTCCCCGGAGCACCACCTGGGATCACAGATCTTGAGCACAGAACCAGGAATAGCTGCTGAGCACTGCTGGGTGTGTCCCCCAAACAAACCAAAAAACCCAATAATAAGTATTACTGAAATAATTATGAAAAATACATAAAATATTACTTAGTGGCAAAAAAAATATAAAGAAACTTACCATCATGGGAAAGACTACTGCAGCAGCTGAAGCTTTTATCACCCATAAAAGAACCAGACAAGTGAGCTGAATGACTGTAAAGATATGCACCTTCCAGAGAGGCACATAACGAAGGTATATCAGGTCAGGTTGATGCTTAGCAGGCATTCCAAATAATTTTATTCGGTCAAAAAACTGTCATCAAATACAAAACAAGAAAACTTTTCAACAAAAAATACCATTTCTGCCTGCTAAAAAAAAAATTAAGCTCAAATTTTAAGATTTTGTGATTTAATTTCCTTGGAATGTTCTAGTAATAAAAATAATAAATATTGCAGCATTGACTCTCCGGACTCAAGGGAGGATCTCTGGATCCAACTGTAGAGGGGGAAGAGGCAATCATCTGAACTAATACAATTAATTTAATCAGAAAATTTAAGCCAAGAATGCTAATTTGTGGAATTAAAATAAACAATCTACTACAATAATAAAAAAACTTTGGTCATCTAACCTCTTTGAACTCATTTTTCTAATACTTAGGATAAGAGTCCCACATGGCAAAGCCTGGCAAGCTCCCCGTGACGTGTTCGATATGCCAAAAACAGGAATAAGTCTCACAATGGAGACATTATTGGTACCCGCTTAAGCAAATCGATGAACAACGGGAGGACAGTGCTACAGTGCATACAATAAGAGTAGCAGGGATTTTCAAAATTTAACAATACTAAGTCTGTGAAAACCCGAGATAACAATTACCAATATTTTACTCAATGAAAAGCTAAACATGAGAGAGGTGGTCATGTGGTATTGTGTTTTAAAAACTCAATGTTTTATACTGATTGGATGCATACAAATTGTAAAATTTACGAGATTACCAGACTGTATTTGAGGAAGGTAGTACAAATAAGACCCTCCCCCCCAAAAAAAGTTAAATCACTGGGTTCCAGCCTCAGTTCCATGACACGCAGAGTTTTGAACCTTAGGAAGTCCCTCTATTTGCTTCCTGTTTACAAATTAGTATTACTAACTTTCCTGCTTACTAGTGTTATCTTGAAGGGAGAAATTCTCTTATATACGAAGCCTTAACATATACCATACATGTAGCATTATTATATTTACCCAAACACCTGATATCAACCTTTTCTTTTTAGGCACTGAATCTCCATCTACTATCAAAAAAAAAAAACTTTTCTCCAGCCCAAACCATTTGAACCTCCTGTAACTATACTAGTCTTTACAAAAACATCATCACTGGCATTAATCAGAAACAGAATCCAGTACCATATCATGATCTCACTGCTTTTTTGAGGGACAACAAAGGAGTAAGAGGAGATATACAAAAGCAATAGTGACTTAAAAAAGTGAATTTGAAGACACCAGTTAGAATATGCCCCCTAGTTATCAGAATTAAAATGAATTTCTATCATTAAAACCACACCTAGTTATTAGAATTAAAATGAATCATTATAATTAAAACAATCTATAAATAAATTAAAATAAAAAACAATCTGTAAACTTAAAATATGTGTTTTTTTATACAAAATCCATTAAAAATACTCAACACTTGCCTGAATTCCTTTCAGTGAGGAAACTCCCATGTAAAGGAAAACACCATACAGAACAGGCATTGGAATAAACTGTAAATAAATGACCACAATTAGAGATCATGCTACTAGAGTAACTTCACAGCAATCAATATACAAAAATACACATAGCCAGTAAGTTCCAATGGAGACAAAATGGAAAGATTTTTTGTGATAATATTTAAAATATGTTGTACATAAAAATAGTAATCTTGACAATTTGTTTCTTCTATCTACATATGCCAAATACCAGTAAGTATTTACATCTACATATTTCAAATACACCAAGATTCAGAAAAGCACATGTATCAATCATTCAAAAAGCTTTCACGATCATGATCGTGATCATTCTGTTGTTTGTCGATTGCCTCCAGCAAGCCCCAGTAACATCTCCTTCGTCCTAGCCTGAGATTTTAAAAAGTGCCATATTCGAGGCTCTTTCAGGGTTAGGAGAATGAGACCCATCATAGTTACTGGTATTTGGCACACTCTGTACGCCACGGGGAGTTTGCCAGACTCTGCCGTGTGGGCAGGTAACATTCAGTAACTTGCCAGGTTGTCCAAAGTAAGAATGAGATAATAAGATGGCTTAGCGATTATTAATTCCATATTATTACCCTTGTTTAGTTCTCACCACCTGTTATGATAATGCTATTTATATGTTCATGAGTTTTTATATTTGTATATAATTTAACTTTAAAAATGGAATGTTTATAATAGCAGCACAAAAAAGAAATGTGAAATTCTATAATAAAGTTTTAAGTAGACCCAATATTGGGGCAGAGAGATAACACTCCAAGAGGTGGAGGCCCCTGGCATGCGTGGCCCTAATTTAATACCCAACACCACATGCTCCCCAGTCCACAGCAACACTCTGCAGGGCCTACTGCACCCGGCAGAGGCCCTTTAGCTGTGAGCTCTGGGTTGTGGAAACTCTTCCCACTTCCCCTCCACAAAGATAGCACCAACTAAAGAAAGGTGATAGGAAAAAGAATGGGAGAATAAAAACACTCAATTTTGCTGAATCCTCATAAAAGACACAATCAAAGGATCAAAGGGTCTCTAAATCTTTGATCTTGGGAAACTTTTCTTCTCCTTTAATAATGAGGTTCATGCCCCCATCAAAGAACTTTTCTCATACAGAATATACATAGATATATAAGGATGGATGTAACATATATGTACACAAGTAATATGTAGATTCTAGGATATTGAGCTACATTAGAAATTTAAATATATCTAGCTATTTTTAATTTCTTTTGTAAACAATGCATTTTAAGTTTGGGTATCTTAAATGAAAATTTTGATTTCAAAAAGAGTAAGGCTGGTGAAAACAGAGATAGATAAATGGGACTATCTTAAACTAAGAAGCTTCTGCACCTCCAAAGAAACAGTGACCAAAGTACAAAGACAGTCTATAGAATGGGAAAGGATATTCACCGAATACACATCTGACAAGGGGTTGATATCCAGGATATACAAAATACTGGTTAAACTCCACAAGAAGAAAACATCCAACCCCATCCAAAAATGGGGCAATGAAATGAACAGAAACTTTCTCAAAGAAGAAATCCGAATGGCAAAAAAGCACATGAGAAAATGCTCTACATCATTAATCATCAGGGAGATGCAGATCAAAACCACAATGAGATACCATCTCACACCTCAGAGACTGGCCCACATTCAAAAGAACAAAAGCAACCGATGCTGGCGTGGATGTGGCGAGAAAGGGACACTCCTTCACTGTTGGTGGGAATGTCCACTGGTTCAGCCCTTCTGGAAAACAGTATGGACGATTCTCAAAAAATTAGAAATTGAGCTCCCATTTGACCCAGCAATACCACTCCTGGGAATATATCCCAGAGAGGCAAAAATGTATAGTCGAAGTGACATCTGCACTTGTTTGTTCATTGCAGCCCTCTTTACAATAGCCAGAAACTGGAAGAAACCTGAATGCCCAAGAACAGATGACTGGTTAAAGAAACTTTGGTACATCTACACAATGGAGTACTATGTAGCTCTTAGAAAAGATGAAGTCATGAAATTTACATACAAGTGGTACAATATGGAAAGTATCATGCTAAGCGAAATGAGTCAGAAAGAGAGGTATAGACATAGAAAGATTGCATTCATCTGGGGGATATAAAGTAACAAAGTATGAGATTAATACCCAAGAATAGCTGAGATCAGCACCAGGAGGATTACTCCATAACTTAGAGGCCAGCCGGGTATCCTAGAGGAAAGGGCTATTCAGATAGAGAAGGGAGCACCAAATAAAGGATGTTTGGAGGATCCTCCCAGGAGGGGAGATGCATGTCGAAAGTAGACTATGGACTGAACATGTTTGCCACTCAATGCCTCTTTTGCAGACCACAACACCCAAAAGGAGAGAGAGAACACAGGGGATTGCCCTGCCACAGAGACGGGGGGATGGGGGGATGGGGGTGGGAGGGATATTATCCATGGTGGTGGAAAATGGGCACTGGTGGAGGGATGGGTATCTGATCATTGTATAATTGAAACCAAAGCACAAAAAATTGTAAATCTACAACTTTAAAAAAAATAAAATAAAATAAAGGAAAAAAAAAAAAAAAAGAGTAAGGCTGGAGCAATAGCACAGCATGTAGGGCATTTGCTGTGCACGCGGCCGACCAGGGTTCAATTCCCAGCATCCCATATGGTCCCCCCAGGCACCGCCAGGAGTTATTCCTGAGTGCATGATCCAGGAGTAACCCCTGTACATCACTGGGTGTGACCCAAAATGCAAAAAAAAAAAAAAAACCAGAATAAGGTAGAAGTAGGATTGTCTTATACTTCTGTAAATTTCTTTATAGGGTAGCTTAACAAAAGACAATAATTCGATTTGCTTCTACTTCAATTTGCTGCAATAAATTGTTTTCACAGATAAATGAAGAAAATGTCACCTTACTATAATGTAACTGGAAAGAGAAAGATCTAGTAGACACCTAAAGTGATTGCTCAGTCTTTAATTTCTAAACTGAGGAGTCATTATCTTAGGTAAAGAGATTCAGTTTAGAGATAATACTAGTGAAAAATAAGATGATTAAAATATTTAAATCTATGATGGTAGTAACTACAAAAATATCTTTTCTTTAAAAAAAAGAAGCCAAAAGAGTTTTTATCCAGAATTGCTTTTGAAAAATGAGGAGAAAATACAGCTATTTTTGATACTTTAGTTGAAAATTTCTGTCAATATGCAATGAATATTTTAAACAATATTAAAACTCCATCAGTAGGATAACATCCCCATCAGGACTGCATTAAATAATTCTCCTGCCACAAGCATTCCATCACTCTAGTAAATGCCTGTTTTGCTTTTCTAATAAGCGCTACTAATTTTTCTTCATATTGCTAGGAAGAATGATTAATGTTTGAGATAATAACTTTAGTTATAGTTTAAGATCATAACTACCATAATTACCATAATTAAGTCATGGATTAAATTCTTCCAAAACTTTATAGTCTTTAATATTAATCTTTTGCTGTAGGTATATCTAACCCAAAATGCCTACTGAACTGAAATTATACCAAAATATTTTCAAAAAAAAATTCCAAGTAAATTATAGAAAATAAAACTTTAGATATTGTCATGCTGCATTTTTCATTTTTATAAAATCAAGTATAAATTTTCTGGCAGATTGTAAAAGATTTCAATACAAAAATTTACCTTTAATGCTGAAGTCATGAACACAGATAGGCCCATAAGAATAAATATCACTAGTCCTGTAACCCGCTGTTCACGAATTCCCAAAAATTTGGGTTGTTCCCCTGGAGCAGAACATTCAGATTCAACTTTCAAGCTGTTGACATGACTTATAGACAACACTGTTGCAGCCACAAACCATGGTAGTCCCATGACAGAGCAAACCCCCAGCATAACACCAACCATGAACAAATCAAGGTGATAACCAGCTCCTTTCTGAAAAGAGAAATAAAGATAAATATTTTAGTCTATTTATTCTCGGTGAAACTCTAGTATTCAAAGAGAAGAAATTAATTTTCATCATATTATTTAATGTACTAGTCACTATTTTTTTAAGCCTCAAATTGAAAATATTTAAATTACCTTCAATTTGTGTTCCTTTCTGTTTATGATGACAGCTGTAATTTGTTGATCCATAAAGATGAGAATGGTACAAAGCAGAGCTGGAATAGCAGCTATTAATAAGGTCCACCAAGGATTTTCTCCCAATGGGCTTATGATCCAGCCCCTATTTGGATCAGTAGGCTGTTAAAAAAAAAAAAGAAAAAAGTTATCTTCAAAAAATAAATTTTTTTTCCTACTGCCAAAAAAAAAAAAAGAGAGAAGGTTGAGGGGCATGACCATATTCAGCAGCACTCAAGACTTATTCCTGGTTCTGTGCACAGAGATCACCCTGGTGGTGCAGAGGAGATTATATGGGATGCCAGGAATAGACCCCAGTCTGCCTACATGCATGGCATGCACCATACCCACTCTACTATCTCTCCAGCCCTGCTGCACAAAATTTTTACAGCACAGATGACCTATTACAAAATAGTGTATTAAAAGAAATATCAAATATTTCTAAAGAACTAAATTAAATCTTGAGACAAAAAGCAAACTATTTAAAGATAATCACAGGACTCCTTCCCATCCCTGCCCAACTGACTTGCTCATTCCTTCTAACTAGGATAGAAGGATCTCTAGATTTGCTTTAGGAAACATAATCAATTATTTCTGAGTCTTAACTCTTAGAGCTTTTAAAAATTCTTTAATTCTCTTGGAAACCTGAAGTTAAACTGTGAAGTAAGTCTGCATAAGTTTTCTTTAGGAAGAAACGTAATATTGGGTGAAAGGATTATAACTACCCAATAACCCCAATAGTTTCAGGCTTTTTAAATGAGTTCATGGATAGTAGAATGAGATCATACCAACCCCACAGAGACAACAAATGACTGCCATTACTTAAAATATCCCAAATCAAGAGATCAGCTTAGCCCAGGTCTAACAGTCACACATTTATTAACAAATAAAGGACTCTGGTTAAAGACCTATTTTAGGAGATTTTTTACATTTTCGACATCTACCTACCTACCTACTTCTTTTAAAAGGACATCAACATACCTACCATATCAACTCCTGTAGACCAGTGATCTTGGTAAGGTCAGTATTAAGTCAGACTGATCTTCAGGAAGCTATTTTTCTAAAGCATCTACTAACATATTTCAATGTTGTTAAGATAAAATTTTTGTATTAAGAAAATCTGAAAGATTTTAAGAGTATTTCATACTATAGAAGGATATTGTATACACTAAAATGTTATTACCTAGACTTTATATATTAAGTATTTTTCAAAACAAAAATAAAATCTACTACTATAAAATTCAGACATTCTTTTGCACACTCATTTACACTAATTATATATCTAATACTGCATATGAAATGATTCCATGTACACAATGCATATTGTGTACTATTCAATGTATTGAATATAATTGAATGTTATATTATATTTAATGTTATATTCAATATTGAATGTGCCTTGATTTGTTTCCCAAACATATTTCATGCCTCTTAAAAATCATAGTGCTACTTGAAAACCAGATAAGTACAAGAAAACAGATTTAGAAAATAGAGAAAGGAGGTAGGGCCAGAGTAACAGGAAATAACATCAATAGTTTAAACCAATATTAACTTATAGTTACATTAAGATTTGGTAAAAATAAAATGATTTTCACAGTTATCTATTAATAGCACAAAACTTTAAGTGGCTCAAAATCTATACTTTGAAATAAAGGTCCCAATAATTTTTCTTTTATCATATACTCAGCAAAAATCAAAATTTCTTGATAAAAACAGAAATTGAATGAATTTATGCTTTTTATAACTGTCATCTATAAAGTAAAATTTTGTTTCGTTCTTTTTCTGTTTGGCAGTGCTCAGGGATCACTCCTGATGTTCAGTGACTACTGTAGGAACAGCAATCAAACCACGGTTTCCTATATGCAAAGTTTTTGCTTGGTCCACTGAAACATCTTTCGAGGTCCAAGTGTGAAATTCTTATGATGAGATTGTAAAATTTATCTTTATTCTTAGTTTCTCTTTTCTTTCTTTTTTTCTGTTTGGTTTGTTTTGGGTCATATCCTGCAGTGCTCAGGGATTATTCCTGGCCCTGTGCTCAGGGGGTCAATCCTGGTGAGCTTGAAGAACCAGATGGGATGCCTGAAACTGAACCTGGGTAGGCTGTGTGCAAGGCAAGAGTCTTACCCACTTTATCATCTCTCCAGCCCTCATTTTTTTAAAAAACAAAAAATATAAATTGTGGTGGATCATTATCTACCCACATGTGCTATTTTTGTAGACATTAATTATTTTCTGTGGTATTAAAAAATATATGTTTTGGGGGCATAAAAGGTGGTTGCCAGGATGTCTCCCAGAGCAGTGCTGGGAGACTGCTCCCAATGTGGTTGGGAAAATCCAGCAGTGTCAAAATCAATCCTGGCACACTCCAGCCCCTGGGTAGCCTCTCCGGGCCAGGAAGAACACTTTTGATTCTCAATTCTGTCAAAAAATGTTATGTGGACCTTTCCAACTGGTAAAAAGTATATTACATTTCTAAAAATTTAACCAGAATCTACTTATTACTTGTAAAATAAAAGGTCAAAAGGGACTGGAAGATAGCTCAACGATTTAAAGCCCAGCAAGCACAAGATTCTGAGTTTGAATTCTGATGCCACCACATGGGCTTGAAGAGATCAAGACAGCTCTACTATTAGGGGGACCCAGAAAAAGAGCCTGGAAGATGGCTCAGTGGTTAGGAAGCACCCAGGAAAGTGTGACGTTTTGAGGTTAATCTCTGATGCTACGCGTGGGGCTAGAGCTATAGCACAGCAATAGGGCATTTGCCTTGCACACAGCCAGCCCAGCTGAGCCAGCCAGGTTCGATTCCCCCGCCCCTCTTGGAGAGCCCAGAAAGCTACCGAGAGTTTCTTGCCCGCATGGCAAAGCCTGGCAAACTCCCCATGACATATTCAATATGCCAAACACAGTAACAACAAGTCTCACAATGGAGATGTCACTGGGCCCGCTTGAGCAAATTGATGAACAACGGGAGGACAATGCTACAATGCTATGCATGGGACATGATCCTAACTGCCCCAGCTTGGGGTCTCCAAGGAGAGATTAATATTTTATTTGTTTTGAGGCCACCACCCATCTGTGCTTGAGGACTACTCCCAGATCTGTGCTCAGGGGACTATGTGTGCTGGAGCTCTGTGAACTCTCTCTCCAGCCTCTCCTTTTCAGTTTTGGAGCACACTCAGTAATGCTGGATGCTACTGATGGCTTATAGAGGACAGTCCATGTGATGTTAGGGGACCATGAGAAACAGATACAGATCCTGTATATGATACAGATTCTGTATATGAGGCAGCTACTTTATACGATACAGAAACAGATACTGTAGATAAGAAACAGATACAGAAATTTTTTTTCTTCATCAACATCAAATCATCAACTACTAAGGGAAACTACATGTACTTCAAAGATAACTGCTTAGCTATTAGGAAAAAATGAAGTCATGAAATTCGCTTATAAATGGATGGACATGGAGGGTATCATGCTGACTGAGACATGTTGGAAGGATAGACTAGAATGCTTGCAGTGATTTGTGGGACATTAGAAAAAAACATATTGTGAGACAATAGAAACGGGTCAGAACGATTGGTGCATGGACAGAAGCCTGCCTCAGGTGCTAGGAGAGAAGGTAATTGGATAGAGAAGGACCACTATGGCAATGATAGATGAAAATGATCACTCTGGATAAGAACTGTGTGCTGAAAGTAGGTAAAGGAAAATCCATGATAACCTCACAGTATCTGTATGGCAAACAATAATGCCCAAATAGGGCAGTGGGGCGGGGGAGGGGAGAAAGAGTGAGGGGGAGAGAGAGAGAGGATGAGGGGAATTATGGGAGAGGGAGAGTGAGGGAGGGAGAGAGCGAGAGAGTGGGGGCGGAGAAGAGAAGCCCTGTCACTGGTAAGTGGCAGGAGGAAAACTGGGGTCACTGGTGGTGGGAAATGTACACTGGTAGAGGAATGGGCGTTGGAACATTGTAGGGCTGCAACCCGAGCATGAACACCTTTGTAATTGTGTATTCACAGCGACTCAATAAAAATAAGTAAATTTTTTTAATTAAAAAAATATAAACTGCCTAGGAAGCAGCAACTCACTTTATACTAGAATTGGCAAATAATAAAAGTCAAAGGTTTTAATTACCTGGAACTTCTCAGGAACATGAAGCTTAGGAGATGGAACTCCTACAAGGTAGTCAATTGCAACCATTATTACTATTGTGAGAAACACAGCAAAGTCACTGATTGTCGACCGCACCTATGTTAAATGGATTCTGTTAATACAACATAGAAATATTTTGTCCTCTAAACAGTTGTTTCTTTCAGATATCAAAATGCACTACTAGAAAATATGAATGAGGTTTCAATTAGTGACAATGTGCCAATGAAAGGAATTTATATTTAATACTTTTCCCAAAAGAGAAATATTTTATAACTAATCTATCATCTTTTATAGTGCCTTTAACTTTCTACCATCATCTCATATATGACACACTGACAATAAACAATTTCTTTCTAACAAGTTTATAGTAATTTTTTCAGCAATAACAAACTGACTCCAGTGTACTACCATTTTAAATTTAAAAAAGGAAATGAAAACTAAAAACATTAGTATTATTGGGACCTCTAAATTACGTCCCAATTACCTTAGTAGGAAAATAGCGCTTGGTCTTAAATTGCTTGAGGAATGAAGACAGGAAAAACGTTGTGAAAAATAAGATGACACACCAAAAGAGCACATCTGGAATATAAGGACCATGAAGACCACAAGCTGATCCTACAAACTCACCACGAAAGGCTTTACATTCCTATGGAAAAATAGAAGGAAAAAAGGTCTGAAGGGATGCTCAGATACCAATAAATTACCTAAGTCTTCATTGACTCCAAACTTAATTAGATACACCATTATTTTATTTTAGTTCAATTAGAAAATAAAAACACTGCCATGTCAGCAATAACATACAATCCATTATAAAGTACTTCCTGAAATTCTATGCAATTTTAAAACATGCAGTTTAATTCATAACTGAAATGTGTTTGTGTCAGTTATGTCATATACTCCCCGCTTCACCACACACTCCATATCGCCTTAGTGAAAGACATTATTAATTATCAGAAGTTTATTCTGCACTACTGTGGGTCACACAACTTTAATATCTTTCCTTCACTTCTGAGCAATACAATTTAAACAAAGCAACAGATACAATTTTTTATATGTTGAAAGAAATAGAATGGTAGTATTAGATTCAACCATTATTACTATCGTGAGAAACACAGGAAAGTCACTGATTGTCCACCATAGCAGTTAAGTGACCATTAAAATATTGCTTTTGGAGGTAGTGTGATGTGTAGTGCAGCAGGTAAGGTGCTTGCCCTGTATGCCTTTAATTCAGGTATAATCCCCAGCATCCCATACGTTCCCCTGAGCACCACCAGGAATGATTCCTAAGTGCAGAACCAGGAGTAATCCTGAGCATTGCCAGGTGTGGCCAAACCCCCAAATAAAGAAAAATGGAAATACTTATTCCATTATTATAATTAACAACAGCATAATATAATGATAAAATTATAGTGATCTATTGTTTTCTTTCCCATTTGGAGGGGTGAGCAAAAAAGCTGAAAGGCAACCACACATTAATTAACAAAGTCACATGTCACTAAAGTCCATTTTTTCTTATAAATTTTTTAACGAGATTCATTTTAATAACCAAATTAAAATTCCCAATTCTTATGTGCTGAAATTAGTAACCTCATAAATTTATAACATGGGCTATAAAAATAAAAGTGATTAACTACCAAAGAAACAACAATAAAAACCCAAAACCCAACTCAGCCCTTTTGGACATCAAAAAAAGACAAAGAGGGACTGGAGAGGGTACAGTGGGTAGGGCATTTGCCTTGGAGGGGTCTCATCATAGTATAGTTTCTGGCACCCCAGTACAGTCTCCTGGTCTCAACCCTTGTAAAGAGTAATCCCTGAGCACAGAGTCAGGATTAAGTCCTAAGCATATCTGAGTATAGCCTGAAAACAGAACAAAACAAAAACAAAGAAAAAAACCTATAGCTATAATATCAAGACATCCTATTCATCATGAAACTTCTTTAACAAACTAACTGCATTTGACTACTATTTTCTACCTACCTTCTCCATAACAAATTTGGAAAATATAAAACAGAAAAACATTAATTCTAAATTGATTACTCATAAATGACTTTAAGTCATCACTGCCCAGGAGAACTGTCCAGCACAACTATAAGTTATCACATGAGGTGATTAAAGTATTAGAAAAGTGGCCAGTAGAGCTGAAAAAAAAAAGCCACCAATTTTCAAGTTAATTTTATTTAAAAAGAAAAATTAAAAACAAATAGTTTATCTTGGGCACTTATATTACTGTTAAGAAATTTTAAATTGTAACTTTCAAATTAGTTAAGGATTATCATCTTGATTGTTGGGGGTTTTGGGAGAGAGGTGGAGGGTGGGGGAACGGCCACACCTGGCAGTGCTCAGAGCTTACACCTAACTCTGCGCTCAGGAATCACTTCTGATGGGACTCAGGGAACCATACGGGATGCTGGGGACTTAACCTGGGTTAGATATGTGCAAGGTAAGCAATCTACCTGCCGTACTACCTATGGATCCAATCCTAGGGTTATTGTCTATGACCTATAAAAAGTACCAGGAAAACTCAGACCATCTTGGTGTTTAATCATGATAAAGTTTGTATCATTATTCATCATTATTCTGAGATCTCAACATTGGGAACATCCAAAACAGGGCATTTCCCAAGAGAATCCATTCAGTTTAATGTACAAGAGATGATCATTATATGTCTGTCCTTTTTCCTTCCTCTTTGCCTTGTGTTCATTCAAGTTTGGCAATCTCTAAATTCAATTTAGGATATCAGCAAAGCATTCGTGATCTAAATAAATGGTTCTCAATCTTTTTATGTCTTTGTTGAGCACCAGTACAGATCAGTGAGTAAAGCACACTGTCCAAAACAAGTGATTCATGAAGCAGAAGAAAACAATAAATAAAACGTAGGATAAGTGGACATGGGCTGTTAGAATGTCAACTCTAGCACATGCAACTATAGTACTACCAAACATTTGACCTGAATTTGCCAATCTAAGTGAAATTATACATCAGTAATCAAATCATCCATCTTTATTTTCTTTACCAGCTTCATCCTTCTTAGTCCCCCCAAATTTTTAAATAATATATGAAAATATGCTAAGTTCTATTGACTTAGAAGAATGTTATAGTATGAAAACACAATACCCCATTGGTCAAAAATAAAGTACATGTTATTCAGAAAAATCTATCTACAAAATTTTGTATTTCATTGTATACTCACAGAAACAGTGAGATTTTCCCAAGAAATACCATCTGCTGTTATATTCTTTTCCTTCCACACCATTAGCGTCTCATTGCTAGGGTTAGGAGGTTCAATGCATACACACCTAAGAAATTAGAACAGGATAAAATTTAAGGATCTCTCATTTCATGTATTTATAATTAAATTAATGCAATAGCTCTTAGCTTAACTATGCTTTATGCTACAAAGCATAGATACCAAAAAGTACAAATACTTAAGAAACAACAAAGTAAAATAAGGTCAGCCTTGTATAAATGAAATATAACATACAAATATCAATACACTGTTCACTTAATAAACCTGGTTAGATAGTATTCTTTCCCTTGCCAGGGAAGTATTACTAACTCTTTAAAAAGTAGCAAGGTCACTTTAGGATAAATTTCATCTACCTAATCTCTGTGACAGCTACCATTGCCTCCTCATCCACACAACCACAACATGCAGAGAATTCTGAGAAATGTGGTATTCCTATGTATCAAGCCCTATTTCCTCATGCTCAGTTTTCATCTATTTTGAGATTCATTCATTTTTAAAATGAAATAAGTTTCCATTAAAATACCAAATAAAGAAAATCATAAGATCAGAGAGGTCATATCATGTCCAGAAATATTTTATTGGACATGATATAATAAAACTCTAGAAACATACACACCTAAGAAATCCCTAATGTGGACTGAATAAATTAAAAGAAGCCTCAAGAATTTTCCCTATTGAATTATGAGCTGTCTAAGGGGGAAAGAAGCTGGCATTGGATTCAATCCAAGTTTTGTAATTCACAATCTAAAGTTTGATTCAGAGTTTTGACCTCAATATGCCTCAGTTTCTTCAAATACAAGGGGCTATAAAGGTAAAGGTAAAGGCCCTCCTGTTGTTCGTCGATTTGCTCGAGCAGGCCCAGTAACGTCTCCATTGGAGACTTTGTTGTTACTGTGTTTGGCATATCGAACACAGCACGGGGAGCTTGCCAGGCTCTGCCGTGTGGGTGAGATACTCTCGGTAGCTTGCTGGGCTCTCCGAGAGGGGCAGAGGAATCGAACTCGGGTCGGCCATGTTGGCTGCGTGCAAGGCAAACGCCCTATCGCTGTGCTATCGCTCCAGCCCAAGGGGCTATGATGTGAATAATTAAAGCAATATAAATCAGGCATCTTCAAACACTTTCTGCAAGTGCTCACAAATGTCAGTTTGACAAATGACATTCACATGAACACAAAGGAAACTATACTCCGACTGAATGACACTTGTTACAAAAATGATGCTTTGTAAAGACTAAAGGAGCAAAGCAAAAGAGAATACAAAAATACAAATTAGTTTAAGGGCAAAGATTATAGCAGAAATATAACCTAAGTAAAGTTATATACTAAATAACGGAACTGTCCACCTTTATTTTCCTTCTTAGCCCCAAAACTTTTAGTTTAAGCAGGGTAGCAGAGGGTAATAAGGATGGAGGAACATAATGGAAGAAAAAGCAATAATGGGTTCTCAACATTAGGTGAATAAAATGAAGTAAATTCTGAAGAGCCATTAATAATCTCCATACAAGTCTGAGGTAAAGGATCACACTTTAATTAAGGAGTGAGAAACTACTCACACAATAACCTAATTAGTGTCTAATTTTATTAACTATTTTAAGTAACTTCCAACAAAAATCATGTTTATGAAAAACCAAACTATAAAATAGGATGAGCAAACACTGTCCTGTTGTTCATCGATTTGCTCAAGCGGGCCCAGTAGCGTTTCCATTGGAGACTTGCTGTTACTGTGTTTGGCATATCGAATACATCACGGGTGGCTTGCCAGGCTCTGCCATGTGGGCGAGATACTCTCGGTAGCTTGCTGGGCTCTCTGAGAGGGGCGGAGGAATCGAACTCGGGTCGGCCATGTTGGCCACTTGTAAGGCAAACTCCCTACCGCTGTGCTATCGCTCCAGCCCATAAAATAGGATACTGTAAATAAAACAGATATCCTATCTTCAGAGTTTTACTTTTACTCATTATTAACTTCCTGTTTTTAATATATGGTCATTGTCAAACAATCAAATTTAAATTGGTGATTCCAACTCAAACCTAAGGTCCAAAATACTGGGGCCAGAGCAATAGTATAGTAGGTAGGGTGCTTGCCTTGCATGCAGCCAATCCATGTTCAAACTCTGGCACCCCATGTGATCCCTTAAGCCCTGCCAGGAATGATCCCTCAGTCCAGAACAAGGAGTAAGCCCTGAGCACCGTTGGGAGTGGTGAAAAAAACAAAAAAGGGAAACAAATCCAAAATACTGACTTATTTCAACAAATAAAAAATAATTGGCCAGTGACATAATATATTTCAGCAAATAATAAATGATTGAGTACGGGGCCAGAGACATCATATAATAATAGCCATAATAGACATAGTTGGCTGTGTGCAAGTCACTTTCCTTGCACACAGCCAACTTGGGTTTGATCTCCTAAATGGTCCCCCAATCTTGCTAGGAATGATCCCTAAGCACAGAGACAAGAGTAAGCTCTGAGCACTGTTGGATGTGGGCCCCCCCCCAACAAAAACAAAACTATGACTATTTATGTTTTTGAGTGCTTTATTTATCTTTTGCTTTTTGGGTTACACCCAGCAATGTTCAGGGGTTACTCCTGGCTCTGCACTCAGCAATTACTCCTTGCAGCGCTGGGAGACCATATGGGATGCTGGGAATCAAACCTGGGTTGGCCTCGTGCAAGGCAAACGCCCTACCCACTGTGCTATCGCTCCAGCACCTTGAGTGCTTTAGTAAAATGACATTCATAACAAATAAGTCAACCTCTAGAGTTAGGACACTAGAAAGAGTGAGACTCACCTTGCAAAAAATATCTTCTTAGGCTCACACATTTTATAATACATTTAATTAAAAAAAAAACAGAAATACTTACGAGTAGCTGGTCAATTTATCTAAATTGTTGTGCATATTAAATGCATATATTTCTCCTAAGTGAAAGAGCTTCTCCAAAGCCTCGTAGATGAAAATGATACAAATGAGAGCTGCAAAAGCCTCTTCTGTAAATCGAGTAATATAGCACACAAGGCTGCTTGCATCTGTTGCAACCAAGACAATGCACAAGAAAGAAGTCCAAAGACCAATACTGGTTCTTAAAGATAGATAGGAAAGTTGATAATCTCTGTTTGAAAGAAAAATATAAACAAGCTCAACATACATATTAGGAACAATATCTACTAGAATTTTTTTTAATAACAAGCAATAACATTACAAAATCACAAGATTTCTGGGGAGAGTAAATTACTACAATAACAACTAAAACATTTTTATGTGTTTGTCTATTTCATTTTATTATTAGTTTTTTGATAATAGACTTAATGGTTACATTTTACTACTTACATTTTTAAAACCTTCTAGGTACCAGACAATTCAAAAACAAAAATATCATTTCAGGAATCAGTAAAGAGGAATAATGACAGACAAATATCCACAGAACATCTAAATGTGACTCTCTGAAGACCCAGGCACTGTAGCTGGCATATGATAATCACACCCTTGTTTCACCATCACTGTCATCGCCAATGACTGTCTCTTTTACTAGCAGCATCCCCACAGAAAGTAACTTCATTTTTAAATTCAACTTCAAATAAGGAATTGTTACAAGAGCATAAAACACTTCAGGTCATATCTATAGAACGTATCAAGTTAGAATTTGAATAAGCATGTTCAACAAAGAGTTAGGATCAGCTATTTAATGGCATTAAGTTGTTTCAGAAAAAGGTATTTGATTCAATTACCTTTATCTCACAAAAGAAATATTACTGGTCATGCCAAATTCCTGTCTCCTAGCTACAGTACCCTGTGTCAAATTTCTACACTTTCAACAACCTTACCAGTGAAAAAAGACACCTTATTCCATGGTGATTCCAATCAAACCAACATATAGCAATTCAGATTGTTTAATACAGACACCTTTTTTCTAGGTTGACATTTGCTAGCTTAAAGGATTTTAATTTGCTTATTGGTACAAAAACATTGATTTTATACTCATGTTTCTTGATGAAGGGATGATGGAAAGAGTCAGAGTAGGATGAACTACAGTTGTCCCAAAAATATAAAATTGATCAGATCCTTTTTTCAGTTATTATATAACCACTTCTAAAGAAACAAGAATATAAACATATGCATATGTAAACAACCATTACAAGCACTGCTATTACATACCTGCAGAATTTAAATAAAATTTTTTCAAATACTAAAACTGGACCTGTGCTCCCCAATATTGTCAGAGGTTGCCCAGCAAACAATGAATAGGCAATCCCAGTTATTGATGCTCCAAAAAGAGATTCTATTGCACTCTGTTTAAGGAAAAAAGAAATGAATAAAAGTAATATAACATAAACATATCTCTAACCTACTGTAACATGTAAGATATCTGGAAAATTAACAAGCTAATAAAATATCATTAAAAAAAACAAAGTTAGTACAACTTCAAGTCTTAAATTTTAAATACAAAACACTACAAATAAATTTTTAAATACATCGGGAAAATTACTTTGTTTCTGCATATTAGAAGTGAACTTTTGCAATCAACCTCATTACAAAGCTGTGGGAGGCAAAGAGGGAGAATAAATGGAACAGAGACATTAGGAACTTCAATTTACCTACAGATGTTTTATTTCTTAAGCCTGTGGTGAGTACAAAGATATATGAATTATTTTTAATTTTCTGAAATATTCCATTTAAAAAATGTAAAATGTTAGAATACCTTATATGCTCTTACAAAGACCCTTTTAAACAGACGAATAAAAATTAACATGGTCATTTGTTGTTTTCAAAAAGCAACTTTCCATGCATTTTTAAAAAATCAACTTAATGATAAATCTTAACTATTAGATTTAAAACTTGAAATATTTAACAAATAAACAAGATGGAAAATCTCTTTTAAACAAATAACAGCAGGTATAATTGAAAAAATTATCAAAGTTTGGTAAAAGAGAGAAAAAGAAAGACTAAGGGAACATTTCAATCAAAACTAGTAAACCAATTTTGTACCACTGTCAACATCACATTTGAAGGAATTAGGTAACAGTAGGAGCACAAAAAAGGTCACTGCACAAGAGGAGGGAGAAAAGAGTTTACTGTTCACAAACAACAAAGTCAACTGGAATGCACCTATTAAGGAAAAATCTGTCTTTGCAGAAGGTGAAGAACAGAAGCGCCTGAGAAGCAACTCTCCTAAAACTGAGACGCAACAGCACAGCTGCAACAGGCAAAGAGGAAGGCTTCCAAACCAGATCACAAACACGAGACTGGTTTCTACTCTATGGTAAGCCATGGCTCTATCTGAAAACTTGCATCAAACTTTCTCAGTTTTAAGTGAGCATGGTGATAACCAGGAGAAATTACTGAAGCAGTGTTTGCAAAAATACCAGGCAAGCATACTGGATAAGCTGAAATTCTCATCATCAAATAACAGCATCTTCCAAAATTGAAACCACGAAATACGACTAAAAACAGTAATTTGCTGAAATTTTCAACACCAATAACATTCAATAAATGGCTGCAATTCTCATCATTTATCTGTAACAGCAATTTCCAAAATCGAAACCACAAAATATAACTAAGTAGGAAAAGTATTTCACTATAGCAGACTCAAACCTACAAACTTGATTAGTCTAGATGAAGTGTATTAACAAAATATTTTAACTGTATGGACATTTTGTTTTCTTACCCATAGGCAAATATTATCTGCTCTAGAAGACACTGCCAAGCCTTTATAAAACTCTTGGTTCAATTAGGATATTTAGGCAATACTTGAATCAAAGGGAAAAAATATCTAAACACTATCAAGAGACACAAAGTCAAAATTGAGATGAGAAGAAAGGAAGAGCAAATAAAGGAATGCTCACAGGGGTAGATGAGCAGGAAGTCAGTTACTCTTCCCATTGTTATACTGAAAAAACAGATACTATTTCTTGAAGACTTTCCTTCCCACTTTCCTAATACCTTATTCCCACTTAACAAGTTTCTGTATCTTGCTTTTAGTTTTAACTTTTAAATTGTTTTAAACTGAAACTTGCTACTGGCAGTAATAAATTCCTCACTGCAGAGTCAGGAGTTTCCATTGACATCAGAAGGCTCTCTATGGCACTGAACACTTACTGCTAACCTTTCTCCTCCACTTCAAAACTCTATTTTAGTTTTAACAAAATTTTATCATCCTGAGTCCTCTGTTCTGAGTTCTGACTTGCTGGGTCATTTTCCTCATTTTAGTCCTTTCTCCATTCTACAATTGTGGGTGAATTCCAACTTGTTTCCTCTTCTCTTCCTAAAGTACATGAAATTATTCACTTCATGCATTCTATGTTTCAACCCTCATCTATACCATTTCCAAACTTTTAGTTTTCTCTTTACCGCTACAAACTCTGGAATGTCTCCTTTTCTACTTTACAATAAAGAACCTGATGAAAACAGAAATATTATCATCTCCATATCATCTTACTCCATGATGCTCCTGATTCCTCTCTTTCTGTTACTTCAACTATTACAGCCCTTCCTTTATCTGACGCATGTGTGGCATACTAGGACATTATATGATCTTGTCACTTGGGTTAGAATAATTGAGAACAAATTACACGGCATCTTCCACTTGTTTCTATTCCTCCAATATTAACAACATTACTGCAGCACATAACATTAAACAGCAGGATGAAGAGGCTTGCAGACAGTGAATGACAGTTCAAAAGCAAAGCAGTAATATTTTCATGATGGTAACAGATAAGACGTTTTCACAAGGACCTGTAAAGTTACATGCACATTTGTGACAGCACAGAAAGCAACTTCTTAAAGTATGGACCTTTGATAACAGTGATTATAGAGTAAGTCAAAAAGATTTTGAGTAATCTAAGTGTGTGAAATTGTGTCAAAATCAATGTGTCAAACATAGCTCATGTACTTAAATTTAGAAAATACTACCAGTATTCAGTATAGTAATTTTAAAAACTTTATCTGTAAAAAATTTCCTACCAAGTGAAAATAAATTAAACCTAAAAATTACAAAATCTCATTTAACACCACTAAAATGTATATGGTTGTAAGATTTTTAAAAGCACCAGAAATTGTTTTATCTCCCACTATTCCTAACAACAAAAAAATTAATATAAATATAAAGCTTCAAGTTTAGTATTATCAATTGATAGATCCAGCTCCATTTATGCTTTACAAATAAAAACTAACTACTTTCACACAGATATATTAACAGCAAAACTAAACATCACCTCAAATATCTATTTGTCCACAATCAGTTCTCTTCTCCAAATAGTCTATCCAAGTCCACCCAACAGGGCTGTTAGTGTTAATCATATGATTCTAACTATTCCTATGATGCTTTACAATATATGAAGCAGCCCTTCTGAGAAGCTCCCCGAACCCACAATCCACCCCAAATCAGTTCCAGTTGATCACCCAACAAAATCCTTCCCACCACACTCCCCAAAACACAAAAGACAAGTCCTTTACTCAATTAATAAAACCATTAATCCCAGCAAACCAAGATAAACTTTCTTTTCTTCTTCTTCTTCTTTCTTTGTGTGTTTTGTTTTTTGGTTGGTTTTTTGGTTTTTGTTTTTTTTTTTACCTCAACTGTGCATCTTCTCCTGTTCAAATGGCTTCCCCATGTTTTCCATAGCAATTACCTTTGGGGAAAGTCTGCTTTGGGACAGGTTAATCATGCTGTGGGTAGGTAGACTCTTCAAATAAAAAGTATGAATAGGGAGACAAATGCACACAGACACTTGCCTCTGAAGAGCTAAGAGCCTGGCCACTACCAATCTTTGTACTCACTATTCTGCCTTCTGTAGCTTCTCCAAGCAGCCCTCCAAAAGTGATTACAGGAGACATACAGGCACAGTATAGGAAAAGAATCGAGGCCAGGCACTGCAGACTTAATGCATCCTTGAAGTCACTCAAGAAAAAAGGTGCTTTCCTTTTGATGTCAAGTATCAAACCACCAAAAAGCCTAAATAGGTGAGATGAAACTCGTCAAACTGTACACTAGAGGATTCTAGCTAGTTCAAACTAAAACTATGGGCTACATAAAACTCTAGTACCTAGTGCTTTGTCAATAAAATTTAATATCCTATTTAAGTCATGGTATCAATTATAGAAGATATACTCATTTAATTTAATCCACCAATGACAGAGGAAAGACAGATGTCATTCAGTTAAAGGAGACATAAAAATCTGTTACCTATGAATTATATGCTGAAAAGACTGCAGGCAAATGATTTTACATGAGTAAATAATTTTAAACATAAATGTGCAAGAAAATGTACAATGAAAATAAAACCTAACAACCTATTCATGAAATTATGTATAAACCATTTTGTTAATCATTACCAACAATATGAACCTTAAAAAAGGCAAGTATCAGAAATAGGACAAAGGCAATTATAAATCATAAATACAGTTAATACATCTCCATATTTACCCATTAATGTGAATGTAGTAAGCTCTAATTAGATGCATTCAGTACTGAATTCAAAGACAATTTTAGCAACTTGAAGTTAACACATATTTTTGATCCAGAAAAAATACATAATAACTACTTCATTATATTTAATTTGTTTATATGTAATCAAAAAACAGGGTACATGTTAATAAAACTAAGATGTTTTAATAAGTAAATTTAAAACTTCTATCAATGTCTTATAATTTTATTATATATACATATAATATATATGTATATTTAAATGTCTGATTTGCTGATGCATCTAACTTGAAAAGATCCTAAAAATACAAGCGATTTGATGGGCAGATGTAGTTCCTTGTTATTTCCAGAATCTAGAACAACGGTTCTCAACTGCCTATCCCTGGATGGTGGTATTGGTCCACAGGTACAAAAAAGGCAGTGTTGCAGACCAGTGGTCTTTGTTTTTTTTTCTGCCTGAGACTGGCTCCAATTCACAGGCCAGTGGTTCAGAACCACTGGTCTACAATATTGCTCAGGACATAAGTACTTCTACGACAATGACAAATTAGTTTAAAAATGTTTTGTGATTCAGAAAACAATTATTGAAACACTGAAAATAACCCCTCCCCTCCAAAACATGTACTTTTAAAAGTTTAAAACATGCTTTGCAATTTTTACTATAATTTTAAATACTTAGAGACTTAAAGTGGAAGATGTTATCTATAAATAACCTGGCAATATGAGGAATCAATGTCTAATAAAAGTGCTGCTGATAAACTAGAAAGTCAAATTACATGGGCTGGAGAGATAGTACAGCAAGTAGGGCATTTGCCTTGCATGCAATCAATCCAGGTTTGATCCACCAGCATCCCAAATGGTCCCCTGAGCACCGTCAGAGTAATCTCTGAGTGCAAGCAAAGCCAGGAGTAATACCTGAGCATTGCCAGCCAAGTGTTACCCAAAAACTAAATAACAATAATTACTTTTAAATTTAAAAAAAAATTACAAGATCAAGTCAATAATAACTTGCATGAGACTCTCTAGTAACTATGAGAATAATGTTGTTGAATATATTTGCCACTAATAGCGAACCCTATCTGTGTGTGAACTATGAGGTAAACAAAAATATTAGTATCTTTCACAATAGGACAAAGCTACCGGTACCTGTCTCTGTTATGTTTACAGACTAACATATTAGTGAATTACAACTAATATTTCTCTAAATATCAATTGCATGAGTTATTTTTCTTTTGCATACTCTTTATCACTGGAGCAATAGTACAGCGGGTAGGCAAAGCCTTGCATGCGGCCAACCCAGGTTCAATTCCTCCATCCCTCTCGGAGAGCCCAGAAATCTACTGAGAGTATCCTGCCCACAGAGCAGAGCCTGGCAAGCTCCCCGTGGCACATTCAATATGCCAAAAACAGTATCAACAAGTCTCACAATGGAGACGTTACTGGTGCCTGCTCAAGCAAATCGAGGAGGACAGTGCTACAGTGCGTGCTCTTTTAACATGTCATTGATATCCCTAAAATAGTTCTGCTATGGTATATCTTGATTTAAACAAACATTTGGTCAAGATCTATTAGTTTCAGAGAAACCACAATATATAATCTTCATGCTTTTCCACAGAATGAAAATATCCTAACATTTTTCTAATCCTACAAAATGTTTTAAAACAATGTCTGTACAAGAAGTATTTCAAGTATTTCTTTGTTCCAAAAATTTCTTTAACAATTTTGTTTTGGGGCTGCACTCAGTTATGCTCAGGGGTTACTGCTGGATTTGTGCTTAAAAATTATTCCTGGTAGTGCTCAGGATACCATATGGGATGCCAGGGACTGAACTGGAGTCAACTGCATGCAAGGCAAGTACCCTACCTGATGTATTATCTCTACAGGCCTCTTTAATAATTTTTCTAACTAGGCTCCCATTAACATGTTTGTCCACCTAATTTTACATTACCTTATGAAACAAAACTTATTTTAGTTTTAAATCTATGCACATATACAAAAAATATGGTAAAAATTCCAGTCTGCTCATAATTCTCCAATGAGAATAACAACAGGATCCCACACCTTATTCAAGAACCATCCTTACAAGTAAATCAATTTATTTAGTACATAACTTAAATTTCTTAATGATGGTTTGTAATATTTTCATTTTATATGTATTTTTGGTAAACAGAACCCATTTAATGAAACTGATTTTAAATATGTATAAAATTTTCTTAATATATTCCTCTACTGCAAGGCATATTTTAAAACTTAAAAAATACTGTACATGATTAGGGTCAAATACTACTGCAAAATGAAAGATTTATGCCCTTTGAATCAAATCAGCCCCTGGTCCCCAAAGACACCCGCAATGTACTGGTACTTGTACCCACCGTCCGGTCCTTTGGAGCTCCGGCCCCGCATGGTGAGCAGCCTCTTTAGGGATCTCACCAGAGCTGGGGGCAGATCCATTGGGAAATACAGGAATCTTTCTCTTTTCCTGCATTGCACAACAACAAAAAAAAGAGTATTTTCAGAATCCTGGTTTAAGAAAGCTGAGACATCATCTTCAATTGGAGGAAACATAAGATCTCATATTGGTTGTACATCAAATCAGCTCTCCCTAATGTCAGCTTCCATACATAAATAAACACACACACATATACATCATATGTATATATCTACACACACACACACAATGCCATTCCAACGAACTACCCAATGAAATGGCTCTCCTAATTCTTAAATATTGCTCATGTTAATGACTAAATAATATACTTAACATTAAAAGTAAAGCAAAGTCCATTTTTCTTTTACTGAATTGCGCAGTCAAATACTTTGTCATAAAAATCAATTTCCTGTCAAAAATTTTTGGAGGACACCCAAATAGCAATGAGGGAATGGGGGTGCGGTGGAGGGAGCACTCCCATGATACACTCTGGTGCCACTAAGGCAGCTATGCTGGCGACCAGCAGTGACCCACTTAGGAGTGCTAGGGTGAAGAAGGAAAGAAAGCAGGGAACTCAGCATGCACTGGAGTCCAGGAAGCTAGCTCAGCTATTCTATCCAATAAAAGCTTATCAAACGCTTCTATTCTCATGATAAAGAATCTTTTGCCTTAGGAGGAAGACAGAGAAGAGAGAGAGGAGGAGGGAACAGAGGGAGAGAAAGGGGAAGAAGAGAAGGGAGAGATATCATTAGACAAAGTACTCTGGGTCAAATACTCTTCAAAACAGACTTGCAGGACCTGGTTATATGCCCAATATAGAGTAGCAAGACTTAACTACAATCATTATCAGAGTTAAAAGTTAGCTCAAAGGGAAAGAGGAAACAAAATTATAGAATTCCTAGAAAACAAAAGTATCATGGCCTATGAGATATAACAAGTATCGCTCATGAAAATTATGGTTACATTTTTTAAAAAATTTACATGAAAGAAAAATATTTAAATGGTGCGTTAGGGAATTTAGGGGAGAGCTGAAATGGTAGATCAGAGGTATCACACACATGGGAGGCAGAATTTGATTTCTGCTCAGCACAGCATATGAGGTGTGGTACTCGTAGGCCCCAGCATCAGTTTTCCCCAATTGCTGGGTTCAATATCATTAGGAGTAGCCCCAGGCCCTATAGTACTGCTGGGGTGATCTCTATAGGGGACAGGAATCCCTAGTAAGCAGTTAAGAAGCTGTGGATAAATTAAGTGTGGGCTCCAGAGGCCTCCAGAGAATTGCTTGGAAGTTTTCCCTACCCCAAACCTTTAATTAAACAAAATGTACATAAACTAGAAAATATGAAAACAAAATCCTTTCCTAAAGAAAGGAATTAAATAAGCAAAAAAATAGAAATGTAGTACTGTAGCACTGTCCTCCCATTGTTCATCGATTTGCTCAAGCAGGCACCAGTAATGTCTCCACTGTGAGACTTACTGTTACTGTGTTTGGCGCCTATATCAAATACGCCACGAATAACTTGCCAGGATCTCCCATGCGGGCGGGATACTCTCAGTAGCTTGCCGGGCTCTCCAAGAGGGACAGAGGAATCGAACCCGGGTGAGCCACATGCAAAGCAAATGCCCTACCTGCTGTGCTATTACTCCAGCCCAATTGTATAATAGAAATAAAATCAGAAAATAAAATACATTTTTTTAAAAAGAACAAATTTTAAGTCATGGGGATTTTGTTTGTTTTTCAGCCACAGCTGGTCATGATCAAGGCTCACTCCTGGTGGTGCTCAGGGACTCAGGAAATGTTGGGGGATTGAACCTGAGTTGGCTGCATGCAGGGCAAGTACCTTAATGCCTTGTACTCCAGCCCAGAAAAATAGATTTTAAAATTTCCTCTACTTGAAACATAAGATAGACCACTAATATATTTCAAGTAATAAGGAGGCAACTTTACAAGACGAGAAAAATTTTATATAAAAAAGTCTATGTCACTGTATTGTAAGTAAGAGTATACTAACGACTTTATTGAGGAGAGTAACATACTAGAAAAAAATCAAGAAGCTGGTAATTTTCAAGAAAAATATAGTGATCCAAGAAAAAATAAACACAAAGGGAAAATCCAGTTATCAAGGTTCACCATATGATAAGGTGAGAAAAATTTTGGAACAAAGTTCTGCTTAGTGCCAAATTATTCCAATCAATCAAAATAATGAACACAAAAAAGAAAAACTTACAATCTGTTTTCATGAAACAAACATGACAATGATCGCAAATACATAAATACATAAAAACCTGTTGTCTTATCTATTTACAATTATGCAATCAACTCAAATTATTAGCTACCAACACTTCAGAGTTCATGTTGGCTTTATTCCAAAATAGCAAGTTTTTTCATATTAAGAAATGCTACACTTCCCCGTGACGTATTCGATATGCCAAACACAGTAACAACAAAGTCTCCAATGCATTTCAAAAAAATCAACATTCATTTATACCATATATTAGAGATATCAGAATTTAAATAAGAGGTATAAAAGTATCTCTTATTATAGATAAAGTGACTGAAAAACTCCTACATATAAAGAACTAAAGGTAGCAGAATATTAAAATATAATTTTAAATAGTTACACACACATCTGTAAGCAATAAGTGATTAATGTATTGAGACCTCATTTACAACAGAAATGTAAAATATTTGTGATACACTCAACAAGTGTACATAAGGAGAATTTTATAGCATTCCTTAAGGATACAAAAACTGACTTGAAATAGAAAATCAACTAGAGAAAGATACACCATTTTTGAAAAGAAAGATTCAAAGGCATAAAAAAAAGTTAATTCTCTCTCAATTCATTTAGAAACTTAATTCACAGAAATTTTTCTTTTGAGGATCAGGCTTCATTTCTGGAAATAGAAAGCTGAATGTATATGTACATAATAAATTAATTATGCCAAGATAGCAGGAGAGAAAATATGGGGGAAAGGGAGAGGCAAGAATAAATCTGTACTGACTATATATGTGGTTTTTAAGAAGTTAAAGTGAAATTGATCCATGAATAGATCAATGGAAAAATAATTTCAGAAACAGACCTGAATGTATATGGAAAATTAAGAAAGGAAAGTAAGCATTATCAATCAAGCAGTGTAATGTCTAAATTTTTAATAAACCAGGACAACCAGGCAGTAATTTAGAAACTATGATTATTCAATGTCACTAATTACAGAAACACAAATTCAAATACTTTACACAATCAGATAAAGATACCTATAAGACTCGCAGAAGTTTGAAAGCACACAGAATAGTGAAGTCATCAGAAAGCAGAACTCTCATATATCACTGACAGTCCAAAAAAGTTCAATAGAATGAAAGTATTCTGCTAATAACTACTGAAATGAACTAAAGAAGGCAGCAAATCTATTTCTGAGAGCCTATCTTACTGATACATCTGCAATGTCTAAAATAGCATATAAATGCTATATGACGTGTAATGGCAAGAAAACTGGAAACAACCTGAGTCTCAAAATAGGGTAGACTATGATATATCCACCTATAAATCCAACAGCTATGAACAAAGAGTCAAATATTTGTATTATTTCTAGAATAATAGTTATACAAGGGGAGAAAAGCCAAGTGCAGAACAGCAAGTAAAGCAATGTTAATGTCTGTTTTGAAAGAGAAGAAAATAAAATCATATCTTTGTATTTTCTTATTCCAAATACAACTGTAAAGAAAACAAAAATAACAAAAGATAAACTCTAAGAGGGGTATAAAGGTAACACTGTAAAAGGGACAAGATGAGGAGGGAGCAATAATTCTTATGATTGTACCTTTTCAATAGTTTTGTATTTCTACTCACATTTAAATTATGGAAGAAAGAAATTTAATTTCAAAAAAATATGAAAACAAAGAAGAATGATGTGGATTTTTACCTGAGAAGGAACACTTTTGGGTGGTTCTATGCGAATAGAGGGATCCCATTCTCCTGGAGGTAGGACAGTTACTTGATCTAAAAATTCATCAATTCCAGATAATAGGTCATTTCTGTCCTTTGCTTTATAAGCTACATCATGAAAAATCTAAAGTAAAACACAGAGTAAAAGGATTTTAAAGTTGAGAGAAAATTCTCCAAGTTAATACACTTTAGATATTACATATTAACATTAATTTATATTAGATATTAGATACAGTGACAGGGGTGTAACATTGCTTTACCTAAACTCTAATTACCTAAGCTCTAATCAGGCAGGTCTCCACCCCATACTAGGAAAAACTATTTTTTTTAAAAAACTCAGTATTTATCAGATGAATTAACAGTAATGATCAACAAAAGAAAACAGTGATGTATTAAGACATAACCATTTAAAGAGAAAATTTTGCATGGGAAACACTTAGTAACCTATATAGAATAAAATTAAGACTGGAGCATGTCAATCATTTCTAGGACTCTTATATGAAATTTACCCTGAAGTATTAACAACAGCTATACAACAAATTTTACTATACATAAATGATTTATTTCATCGTTTATTTACATTGGGTGCCCACTATTTGCTAGGCACATTCTAAGTATTTAGATAGTATAAATAGCATGAAGAAGAAAACGTTTCTGCTTTTCAAAATATAAGAACCTAAAAGTAAAGTCATTAAAACAAGGGTCAGAGAGAGAGAGAGTACTGTGGTAAACTACTTTCGGTTTGATCCCTCGAAATACATATGCCCCTCCACGTCAGAGACAGTGCACCCTCCCTTAGCCCCCCCCCAAAAAAATGGACAGGAAAGCAAATATTTAGATGAATAAATAGCACTGTAGCACTGTCCTCCTGTTCATCGAGTTGTTCATCGAGTTGTAACGTCTCCATTGTGAGACTTATTGTTACTGTATTTGGCATATCGAATACATCACGGGGAGCTTGCCAGGCTTTGCCGTGTGGGGGAGATACTCTCGGTCTCTTGCCGGATTCTCCAAGAAGGGCGGAGGAATCGAAAATGCCTCGGCTGGGCCGGCCGTATGCAGGGCAAACACCCTACCAAAAGTCAAATAATAGTAAGTGCCCTGGTAAAACTAAAGCAAGGTAAAGGAAGGAAAGCTGACAGGGGAGAGCTAAGTGTCAAGGAAGGTATCTCAGAAGAAAAAAATCTGAATGAACTGAGGGACCAAACCATTCAAAGGATGCAGTTTAACAGTGGAAGAAGAGGAACCGGAGCAATAACATAGTGGGTAGGGTAACATGGTATGGTAACATGGGAAACATAGGTTCGATCCCCAACATCCCATATGGTACTCTGAGCCAGTCAGGTGTGGTCCCTGAGCACAGAACCAGGAGTAAGACCTGAGCACAGACAGTGTAGCCTCCGCCCAATTTTTTTTTAGATAAATAAAATAACATGATAGGACACTGATGCAAAAGAACAGTAATTGTAAATATTCAGGGTTAGAAAAAACACTTGAGGAAGAAAGAAAGCAGCAAAAACATCCAGAGAAAAACAGAGCAAGACAGGTAAACAGTAGTGTAATGTAAATTTTGAGAACTATACAAAGGCTAAATCGGGCAGACCCTACTGAGACAATGGTAAAAATAGGATATAATGTGTAAATGCATCAAGTAAATAATATGTCAAAATTTTGCATGTCATTAACATTTAAAAACAAAACAAATAAAAAAGAATTACAAAGTTCACATTAAAAGTTGCTTCTGCAAAAGCAACCAGTGTTGGCGCAGATGTGGGGAGAAAAGGACCCTCCTTCGTTGCTGGTGGGAATGCCGAATGGTTCAGCCCTTTTGGAAAACAGTACGGACGATTCTCAAAAAATTAGAAATTGAGCTCCCATTTGACCCAGCAATACCACTCCTGGGAATATATACCAGAGAGGCAGAAAAAGTACAGTCGAAGTGACAACTGCACTTGTTTGTTCATTGCAGCACTCTTTACAATAGCCAGAATCTGGAAAAAACCTGAGTGCCCAAGAACAGATGGCTGGTTAAAGAAACTTTGGTACATTTACACAATGGAGTACTATGTAGCTGTTAGAAAAGATGAAGTCATGAAATTTACATACAAGTGGTACTACATAGAAAATATCATGCTAAGCGAAATGAGTCAAAAAGAGAGGGACAGACATAGAAAGATTGCACTCATCTGGGGAATATAAAGTAACAAAATAGGAGACTAACACCCAAGAATAGCAGAGATAAGTATCAGGAGGTTTACTCCATGGGTTGGAGGCCAGCCATACATGCTAGGGGAAAAGGCAGCTCAGACAGAGAAGGGAGCCCAAATAAAGGGTGTTGGGAGGATTCTCCCAGGATGGGAGATGGATGCTGGAAGTAGACTATAGACCAAACATGATTACCACTCAATTCCTCTTTTGCAAACCACAGCACCCAAAAGGAGAGAGAGAACAGAAGGGAATGCCCTGCCACAGAGGCGGGGTGGGATTGGGGGGACGGGAGGATGGGAGAGATACTGGGATTAGTGGTGGTGGAGAATGGGCACTGGTGGAGGGATGGGTACTAGATCATTGTGTAACTGAAACCCAAGCACAAAAATTTGTAAGTCTACAACTGTACCTCATGGTATTTCACTAATAAAAATTTTTTTTAAAAAGTTGTTTCTGGGGACTGGAGTGATGGGTAGGTCATTTGCCTTGCACGCAGTCAACCTGGGTTGGATCCCCAGTATTCTATATGGTCCTCTGAGCACCGCCAGGAGTAATTCCTGACTGCAGAGCCAGGAGTATTGCCAGGTGTGACCCAAAAAGACAAAAAACAACAAAAAAAAGTTCTTTCTTTTTGAGCCAGAGGTGGCAATTGTCAGGGATTACATCTGGATCTGTGCACTGCACTCAGGAATCACTCCTGGAAGCCCAAATCAAATAAATACTTGTCAGCACGTGCCAGGCAAGTTGCTCTAACTGCTACACTCTCACTCCAGCCCCAAGAAGTCCACTTCGATAGCCACAGATAAAAATAAGAGATTAAAACCAGGGAAATGATAGTGCAGACAGAAAGAAGGAAGCAAATTAAATGTAAAACAAATTGAACAGCTAAAAGCAAGAAAATGTGGTGACAGAGAAAAAAAAGATAAAAGGATAGGATAAAGAAGATTGGGTTGACATTATATGAAAGAGTCTCAGATATTGTAGCAACAACATATGATATGTGTATATCTAGTAAGCACTGGACTGCAAGGTTCTCTCTGCCAAAGAGACAAAGATCCTCATCAATATAGACTATGCTCAAGGGTAGATCTCTACATGATAGAAAATACATATTTTTTAAAGAGAGGAAAGAAAAATAGTCCAGAAGAACCCCAAATCCCAAATCAAGAAAATTTCAAGAAGGAAGTCAGTAACTTCAAATGTGGAAGAGAGGAAACCAAAAATTATCTACTGTTCCTCACAAAAGTGTTTTGAATACTTATCCAAAGGTAAACCGTTAAAGATTGGCTATTAGACAAATACAGACAGCAAGGCCATTATACTTATTACTTTTTGTACTGTGTCAGGGATCAAACCCAGGGCCTCATACACGCAACACTCTACAACTGAACTATATTGAACTATGTCCTTGGCTTGGAAAAGATAGTTTGTTTTTTTTATCATCATCATGATTGAAAAAAGGAGAACTCTAATTTAATACATATTATATGCTTCATTATCATCTTGTGCCTCAAAGGAATTTGAATTACCTCATCTGTCATGAGAGTGGCTATTGATCTTCCAATTTCATGGTATTGCGGAGCTTTGCCCGCTGGACCCAATAATAGAAACAAAAACCTAAGGAGACATTAAGATATAAATTTTAAAATAATATATACATAAATCTAGGCAATTCTAGAGAATCATTCAAAAAGAAACACAAAAACAATACTCAAGATGCTTAAACACCTCTAACATCAAAAACTGAAAAAAAATTAAAAATAGCGTCTCTTGTAAGATAAAGGCAGATCACAAACCTAAGAAAAGTATTCATAATTACCTTTCTACCACATTATTACTTTGTATCTCTTAAAGTAAGTAAATATATGCTACTGAGTTTTATTCATCAAAAGTTTCCATTTTCTATATGCTTTTGAATTTGGATAAACAATGTTATCTGACTTCCCCGCCCAAAACTAAATTAAAATATCAAACCCATTAACTACTTCAAAGTAAAGTTTGCTTAGAAAAAAGAATATTCACTAAAAAAAAGAACATGAAACATGATCCTTTAAATGAAAGTCTAAAGTCTAATGTGGTAAGTAAAAATTCTACAAGGAATTCACCTGCATAGAAAGATAATTTTTATTTATAAAAGCTACTAGGGCTCAGTGAGAGTGTTGAAAGGGCTAGCACACATGCTTTGCATGCAAGAACCCTGGGTTCGACTCCGCAACCCTGCCTGGTCTCCCAGGCACAAAGAGCACTCATCTAGTACTGAGTCAGATGGGACCCAAAAAATAAGGTATATCCTAATTACACCTCAGTAAATAATTTGTGTCATACTAATCTACACAGAAATGTCCATTTCCTGTTTTATGAGAATTTAAAGAAGAATCATGGATATTTTTCCTCCTTCATCTTAATACATAATGCATTTCAGTAAGTTATATTAAAAATAAGTAACTACAATTCAAATTCCAATCTTCACATTTACTATTATTTAAAAAAATTTCCTTTCTTCTTATGAGATCTGTGTGTATGTATATGAATTTTTTAATTCACCAGTTTATAAATTTATAATTTATAAAGCTGTTGATGACAGTCACAATAAAATCAATGTTCCCACTATAAGCCCACCACTAGTTCATCAGTTCCCCCCACCAATGACCCAAGTTCCCTCCTTCAACCAACCTCCTTAGAAAAGTTTTTTTTTTTTTTGGTGCAGGTGGGGTGGGGGAGTAGGGTGTGTGAGTGAGTGAGTGAGGAGGAAGTAGGGGGGTGAGGGTGAGAGTGAGAGGGGTGGTGGTCAAACCTGAATGTGCTCAGGGATCAGGCAGGCCTCAGGAACCTTATGAAGTGCTGGGGATCAAATCGGGATCAGCCACATGCAAAGCAATGTGTCTTACTGTACTATCTCTAAGAAATAGTAAACTAAGATTTAAAAATTCTCCTCCAGGAACTGGGAAGAGGCTGAGTGGTTGTGTGTGGGTTTAATCCCGGTCATTACAGGGGTCCAATTAACACCACCAGGAGTGACAGACACTGACACCTCACTCTCCAGAGCAGAGCCAGGATTAGCCCCTGAATGTTTTTGAATGGAAAAGAAATGATCCCCCCCAAAAAAATTAAAAATTCATTCTTTTTCACAATGAAGTTTACACAGTGGCTCAAAACCCGGTCACTCTAGGACATATCTTTTTATCATTCATATACATATTATTCCCATTTATATTTTTACTTTTTTGGTTGTAGTATAGAAGATCTTGGTCTGAAAATTTGATCTGATCAGAACAAAATGTTTTGCCTAGCTCAGAGGAAATATAGTCCTTTTAAAAGTATTAACTGCACTTGGGGCTGGAGAGACAGGACAGCGGACAGAGTACTTGCATGCAGCAATCCTGGTTTCAAACCCTGGAACCCCATATAGCCAGTGCCCTGAGCCCCACCAGTAGTGATTCTTAAGTGTAGAGTTAGGAGTAAACCCTGAACAGTACTAGATGAGGCCCCAAAACCAAAATAAATAAATAGACAAACAAAACAAAGTCTTACTATCCTCACTTTTAGACATGAATTTTGCACTGCACTGTCCTCCCATTGTTCATCGATTTGCTCCAGCAGTCACCAGTAACATCTCCATTGTGAAACTTGTTACTGTTTTTGACATATCAAATAGGCAATGGGGAGCTTGCCAGGCTCTGCTGTGTTGGCGGGATCCTCTAGGTAGCTTGCCAGGCTCTCCGAAAGAGGCGGAGGAATCGAACCTGGGTCGGCCACATGCAAGGCAAATTGCCCTACCGGCTGTGCGATCGCTCCAGCAATATTAACATGTATACACATTAATATTTAAAAACTTAAATGAGGGCTGGAGAGCTAGTAGAGTAGGAAGGGTGTTTGCCTTCCACAAAACTAACCCTGGCTCAATTCCCAGCACTATATGATTTCCCAGGCCCTGCCAAGAGTGAATCCTCAGCTCAGAGTCATGAATAAGTCAAGTGCAGCCAGTGTGGGCCCCCCAAAAAACAAACAAAAAATTAAAATTTGTTTTAAAATATTTAAATCAGGTCTGACCCTCCCATAAAATGTAGGCAAATAAGGATCCAACTCCAATACCAGGGCAAACACAAAATACCTAAGCTCCTAAGATTCCAAGTTATTTTAGAGGAACAAATGCAGAGGACACCTTTTATTTGGTTTTAAAAGGAGAAAGAACTCTGTAGTGCTCTAATATTTAAGGCATTTGATGCAATGTTAGTGTAACAATTAAAATGTGCTTTAATTAATTTAGTCCTACTTATTGGATAAAAATTTTAGATTCTGGACATGCTGGAAGAATATTCATTGAAACTTAATTCTTTACCTTGTAGGAACAGGGACCTCAGTCAACCCTGAGAGGAGAACAGCAGGAGCCAGTCGCACAAATGCAATGATGGGTCTTTCCAAAAAATCTACTTCTCCCACCAGAACATTAGATGCCTCAGCCCCCGAAGGAATTTTTCTCATGAAATTCATATCAACCTATTGATAAGAAAATAATAAGTAAAGATAAAGTTTGGTACTTTTAAAACTAAATAGAGGTAAACAGGAAAGAAGGGATGCCTTTAGGATACTATTTGCTAATCAAAACTGGTGATCTAATCTGTGCATAAATACCAAAATTCTAGCAAATATAAAGAATGGGAGAAGACAAATAACAAAAAAGCGAGCAAAACACATCAACCAAACAATACTCCCCAATGTTTTAACTAGAATAATTTCTACTACTTCAGGTATCTAAATTATCAAACATGGAAAAATTTTTTCAACAAATACAGTATTATTCATTAAAATCTATTAAGGACAAAAATATAGTTCACAAACTAACAATGGTTCATGAAATTATACACAGTGCTTAAAAAAACTTCATAATTACCTATTTGATTCCTTTATATTTTATGTATTTTCTAAGAACTTTGGGCATTCTTAAGTATTTTCATTAAACCAAAAATTTTCATTTTGTCTTTTCTTTAAAGCTAAAATTAACATAGGATTATGATTTAGTTGTCTGTGTATAATTACAAAGAAAATGTTACAAGCATAATCTCAAAGTTTAGGAACTCCTTCAGTTATATGCAGTTTCACACAAGTCACTAAACAATCACTTACAGGGTAATCTATTAAAAGTAAAAACCAGCACTTACAGCGGGCCTCTTGAGTCCCACACCCAGTGTGCCACAACTACAGTGCCAGGAGGCAGACTCCTGTCCAACAGGAGACAAGGAGGTGTACACAAGGATAGGCCAAGTAAAAAAGAGTACAATTGTGACAAAGGAACAAAAATCAACGGCATCTGCCATGTCTAGAGGAACTCTATAATGTCAATTATAACAAGAATCAGTTGTAATTTGGTTACTAAACATTTTTCATTTCTATGAAATAAGATCAGTAAGAATATGATCACACTAGAATAGAAAAATTAAAACTACAAGCATCCTATAAAGTCAATGTTCCTGAAGTTTTTAAAATAATTTGAGTAATAAATAAGTAATAAAGCAATAAAATGCAAATTATCATTACTCTCTTCTTGCACAATGTGACTTATAGTTCACATCAAAAAGTTTTAAGAAATTTACTTGAAATAAACTCATTAAATAAAGTTCTATATTAGATATAAAAATTAAGTTATCAAAATTATGCCTTAATCAAATACATATTACCAACAAACTACAATGTTCCCAAAGAATCACCCAAAATATTTTTCATAAAGTACACTTTAAATATCAGTGATAATTTGTCCTGTAGTTTTTGCCCCATTCTTTAGAAGATTTTTTCTAATTTATGTTAATACTCACTAAAATTAAAAAATCATTAGATAAGAAAGTTGTTTTTAAGTCCATGCCTTTACCTACCCATGGGGAAGCACCGATATGTTTCCCAGTAACATTCCAGAAAGTACTGACACCATAAGACAGTAATTCTGGAATCAAATTACAGCCGAGAAAAGGCTGAATTGCTAGTGCTGTAACATCATTTCCAGAATTAATCTTTCTAATGGTGGTAGCTCCAGAACAAAGGACTTAATTCAAAAGGCACTGTAGTTTCATGATATCTATGGGTAGGTATAGATGGAAATACCATATTATTTACATACTCTTAGAATTTCTAAAACAAGTTATAAAGTTATTCAAGGAACCTAAAGTTGATAGCTTTTGCACAATTTCTGACCTAAGTCACAAATGTCATATGCAGTTCATAAGTATCAACCTACTAAGAAATTATATTCATAGCCAATAAAGCCACATTGCTGATGTATTCTTAAGAAGAATGGTTATAAAATTTTAGATTTAATGTTAGAATTACCTTGCTGAAGTCAACAGTACTATTTTCTCTGCTTCCTCCACCTCCATTACCTTTAATTTCTCCACCTTTACTATTGTCCAAATTTCCAGGTGCAGACTGTGGAGAGGCCAAAATACCTGTATTTAAGGACAAATTACAAATTAGTAAGGAAAATATTCACTTTCCAGCCTGACTATACTCATTTCCTGAAAGCGATAGTTTACTAAAGCAGTGGGTGGTTAAAAAAATAAAAAGTGCAAGATGTTAGTACCTATTAGTAGACTTGACTGTTTAAACAATAAGTTATTTTAACATTAAAAAATTAAATATAATTTGAATTTACAAAATTGGTGGCCTTTTGCAAAACCAAAGAAAAAGTGAGTAGATAAGAAACTATAAGAGACAGAATACCTGCATATATGATTATCACTACATATACTTAGAAAATATTATTCTAGGAGAGGCTAAAATATATATATATAGTTTAATATATCTTATATACCTATGAGTTACAGGACTTAAGGACACTAACTACATTAAAAGCAAACTGATGTCAATAACAAAATGAAATTTCAGACACATATCCTACGTGTAACTCAGAAACTTTAGGAGCCACACCAACTACATGCAGATTATCATATTCTTCTTCTATAATCACAAATTTCTCAAGAATTTTCAACTCTTTGGATATTGTGTTCTAGCTACTTCAATTATTCCTAAGAAATACACTTAGAATTAGTGCTCATTTAATATTCTTAGGAATGCATTTCTTAGGAATACCTTAGGAATGCATTTCTTAGGAATATTCCTAAGAAATACTTTTAGTATTTAGTATCTCTTAGGAATGCTATTTCTAAGAAATAAATACACTTAGAATTGCTAAGGAATATTATTAGTACAATCTTAAAACAGAATAGCAATATTTTTATAATAACAATGATAAGGATTATAATAAAATATATCTGAAATGCAATAAGCACTCTGCACTTTGTAACTAAGCAACTTTAAGTAACTCACTCCACTCAAAAATTAGGGAAAACAAAATTAGTTTGGGTTAGAAAGTTAGGTATATGTTTTATAAAACTAGCTTATTGGATTCCAAGTATTATGTATTCCAGCACTATTCTATTTGTTCTAAGGGATATTCAGAAACATTTCATGATGAACACTCTGTAGAATGATCATTAGCTATAAAAACAAATTTTTAAAAATATTAAAAAATTCCAAAACTTTAAATTCAGGTACACAACAAAGTTCTACATCTCAAAGCATCTCATTCCATGTCAAAGTGTCCAAGATTTTCTTGTTCAAGAATAAAGATTTGTATTACCTTAAATACTGAAAATCACAGGAGAAAAAGGAACTAGAATGAGTAACAAGAAAATTTATTTTTTGTTTAACTTCCAGTCACTGCAATAGTGACCCACAGACATTCAATTAATCTCTTTAGCTAGTCCTACAAACATTTAAGTTATAATTGGTAATTAAGCTCCAAATCTTTAAGTGCATCATATATATTTTATGTATCCTAGGATTTTCATTTTCCAAAACTATAAAATTCTATTAATAACTGAAACTGATTTACTTAGGTTTTTGCTTAAACTTATGATATGCACTTCTTATGTTTCAGAGCCACCCCCAGTCTTCCTGTCTAAAAGACATGTGCACTCTATTTAGTCACATTCATATTCTCTGGGGAAAAACTAAGCAATTTTTGAAATATACTACTATTTTAAGACTATTTTTTCAGCATCATAGCTTACTTTGCACAGAAAAGTTTGTGTGCAGATAGTTTCTTCTTAGAGCTTCCCAAATTTTCAGATAGAGTTCACTCAGTTATTAAAACACATGCCCATAGTACACTGGGTAGGGAACTTGTCTTGGACGTGGACAACCCTAGATTTGAATCTCAGTACCGCATATGGACTCCCGAGCTTTGCCAGGAGTGCTTCCTAAGAACAGAGCCAGAAGACAGTCTTGAGCAGGGCTGGGGGTAGCCCAAAAATAAAAAACGAAAATAAATGTCCAGGGAGAAGGAAAACAAATAAAAAGACAAAAGTCAAAACAAATGGTGCAAATCATAACAAATGATGCAAAACTTAACAACAGTATAGCATCTCATGCTGCATAGACTGGCACACATCAAAAGAAACACTGCAGAGTAGATGCAGAGAGAAAGGGTTTCTCATTCACTACTAGAGAGGATGCTGATTGGTCCAGTCTTTCTGGAAAACAATATGGACATTCCTCAAAAAACTAGAAAATGAGCTTCCATACGGCCCAGCAATACCTCTCCTGGGAATATACCCTAGTAGCACAAAAATAATGCAGAAAAGCTATCTGCACTATGTTCACTGTGGCACTACTCACAATAGCCAGAATCTGGAAACTGCCAAGTACCCAAGAACAGATGAATGAATAAAGAAACTATGGTACATCTACACAATGGAGTATTACATACCTATTGGGAAAAATGAAGTCATGAATTTTGCTTATAAATGGACAGTGAGAGTACCATACTGAGTGAAATGAGTCAAAGAAAAAACAGAATGACTACACGCATTTGTGGAATATTAAATAAAACAAACCCCATCAATATAGTATGATATAATAACCGAAGACAGTAGAAACAAGGGCTAGGAATACTGGACCATGGTAGAAAGCTAGCCACAAAGAGGGAGAAGGAACGCAGTTAGGACAGAAATGGGACCACTATGAAAATGATAGCTGGATATGATCACTCCAGAAAAACCTAAGTGCTGAAAGGAGGTAAAGTGATATGCATTATACCCTTTCAGTAACAATATTGCAAACCGCAGTGCCTTATAGGAAAGTAAGAAAAGAAAAGTGTCTGCCATAGGAAGCAGGCTGTAGCTACAGGTAGAAAGGGCATGGTGGCGGGGGGTAGCAGGTATACAGGAAGGAAACTGGGAATATTGGTGGGGAAACTTGTGGCGGGAAATGTGCATTAGTGAAGGGAATGGGTGTCGGGATAGTGTATGACTGAAACTTAATCATGAACATCTTTCTAACTGTATATCTCATGGTGATTCAATTTTTTTTTTAAGTTCTTTTCAGTGGCTTCACCTCCTTTCCACACAAGAAAATGAAGAGTTTCCAATTATGGGATACAAAAAAAAAACATAGTATGAGACTAATAAACAAACACAGTATGGTCCATGGTAGGAAGATTGCCACAAGGGGGGTCAAGGAGGGCAGTTAGAATAGAGAAGGGACCACAATGACAATGATAGTTGGAAATGATCACTCTAGACAAGACCTAGTGCTAAGGCCTCTCACAGTGATTAAAAAAAATTTTTGAAAAAAAAAGGAAAGAAAATGAAGAATGTCATAAAAGTCCTAGCAGCAATTGTGTCCAATACCAATATACTAGATGTAGTTAATCTGTAGACACATGATCAAAGACTATAGCACTGAATGAATGCTCAATTTCCCCCAGCTCTGTCCCTGTCATCACATTTTTGTGAAGAATGGCATATGCAGAACACTGTAGTGAAAATAATTCAACAGGAATGAAGGGAAGAAATTATGTGGAATATAATAATAAAGGCAAAAGGCAACAGTCATCTTAGACTTGTTAGAAATGGTATGGTACAAGTACATGTTAAAAGAATTTTGCATCATTACCTTCTCTCCGTAATGCCCATGTTAGCTACATTAGAGTTGTGTTTACAATCAGTAAACAAAGAATTAAGATAAAAAAAAAAAACCTCAAATAAAAACTATCACTAGCACAGGTAATTCATAGGGAATTTCTTTGCTTTTCAAAAAAAACCTCTTATTTTGGTAAATCTATTATTTTTGTTCTTACATTTTTGTCCTCACATAAAGGGGAAAATCTAGTACTAAAAAGATAAACAAAAATAATTATTTGAAAGCAAAAACCCCTGTATTAGAGCAGGGGTTCTCAATCTAAGAATGTTCTACCCTACCAAAAATATACTTGCCAATGTCGAATGAATAATCTCTTTGTTTATCAATCATAACTATAGAGCACCACTGGGAGGTAACTGATAGAGGATAGAAATGCTACTATAAACATTCTATGATACATAATCACTGCCTATAACAAGAGGTGCCCAGCTCAAAAATCAATAATGCCAACATAGAGAAACAATGACTTAGAAGATAGTCACCAGCACTAAAAATGAGTTTACCAAAATTATCGCCCAAGAATAATAAAGGGGAAATGCGACTCTTTTAATATCAAGTACACAGACCTATCATGACTTCATGATACTGAACTCTTATGTGAGTCGCTCCAAATGATGCTGAGGCCATTTTCCTCCTTGAATGTGAAGTCAGACTTTAAGAAAACTAAACCTACATTTCTAGAACCAAAAGTAATTGAGCAAGGAAAACATATAACCTTACTACATTTATTCAGTAATTCATAACTTTTATAGAGGTATTTTAATTATTTCCTTGCACTTACAAATTTCCTCTCTGTTCTTACTCTAAGTTTCTTCAAAAGGCTGATAAATCACAAATACTTCAAGCTCAGGGGGTGAAAACTTATTCTACAACTTCCAGTTAATTGCTTTTATCTACTTAAGAACTGTTTAAAAGCCACTTTAAGTTCATATGTCCCTTCCTTCTACAAAGTTCACATTCCCTTATGAACATAGAAGCTGGAAAAAATAAGAAACATTGAGTGTTCCCAATTAATACTGGTTTTTTAAAAAAAAATATAAAGCAGCAATAAGACTAATTGTTAAAAGGAAAAAAAGCAAATCCCGCTGGCTCTACTTCATTAAAATTAAAACACTAATTATTTCCAGACAACTATTTTAATCCTTTTTGTTCATTTATCTCACTATTATTCCATATCTTTTTTTCCTCACTTACATACAATATGGAACTATACTATAGATTTTGTTGTAGGTAGATGTGATTAGGTAGATGTGATTCAGGCTGGAGCAATAGCACAGCGGGCAGGGCGTTTGCCTTGCACGCAGCCTCTCCAAGTTCTATTCCTCCGCCCCTCTTAGAGATCCCGGCAAGCTACCGAGAGTATCTTGTCCACACGGCAAAGCCTGGCAAGCTACCCGTGACATATTCGATATGCCAAAAACAGTAACAACAAGTCTCACAATTTGTTGTGAGACGTTACTGGTGCCCGCTTGAGCAAATCGATAAACAATGGGAGGACAGTGGACAGTGCTACAGTGCTACAGATCTGATTCAATTCCTTGTTCCAGGAATTTACAGTATGATATTAGCATCTCAAAAGTCTTAAGTTTCCTTCATTTATAAAATATGAACAACATGAACCCAATGTGTCAGAATGAAAACTATTGTACTTTAAAAAAAAACTACACATCACTGTGTCAAACAAACTAAAAAAAAGTAACAGCTATAACTATGATCATGTTACATCAATTTAGCTATAGAGATGCCATTTTTCACTTCTATAAGTGTATAGATTATAGGTATAAATGTATAGATATGAATCATGATTAAATGGATTTAGTGTATTGAAATAAAGCCAGGAAAGAAAGGAACAGGTCTGTCATACAGATCTAGGAATATAAAGATTTTTAGTCAGAGGACTTATGCTGTCATCTATAACATAAGAAATATGATCTGAGATCTTTTGGGCCTGAAAAGGCTGTATCCACTAAACTTATGTTATTTTTATAAATACCAAATAGGCTAAATTAATTACTGTAAGATTTTTTTAAGTGTAAGATATTAACAAAATCATGAAGAAATGTGACAATATTTATACAATTAAAACTACTAGTTAGCACTCATATATGTCACACTGACCCTGAGCCATCAGCAAAGTCTTTAAGGAGTACAGGACTGGGATAAAGCCCAAAGGTGTGGAGTGCATGTGTCAAAAATGTGAGTCCCCAAGTTTGATCTCCATATTGCATAGCCCCTAGGGCACTACTGGATGTATGGCCCTGGCAGTAGCTGAGCACTGCCAATTCCAAGCATCAAACCTTCTGTCTTGAACCACACGATAAACTATTACATAGTGTAGTCCGTGGCACCGTGGAGTCCTGGGGTATTCTAACATCACTTGAGGTAAGGCATCACTGAACACTTCTTTATATGAACAGTGAACAAACTACATGTGTAAAACTGTGTAAAAATATGTAATAATCAAATTATCAAACCACATAAACCTCACATGAGTTACATCTTTTTATCCATTAAAAAATACATTTTCTAATTCACTTAAAAAAATACATCCTGGCTATATACAGGAATTATAATAGTGAAGATTTTAAGATTTCATTCAACCCTGAATGAAAGACTGATATGGCATTAAATATAGGATAACAAATCTTGAAATACTGAGGAGTCTAGGCAATCAGAGAATGTCAGACTTATCAAAGAAAATATCCAATATTTTTTTTCTTAGGAAAGTTAAAGAGTATGGTATCCTCTGGACAAAAGTACAAATCAGGATAAAGGGCAACAACCTCCTTTGGGTTTATGCATAATGTGTTAATTTACCTGATGAAAGTAGACAAAAAGTCACTAATTTTTTAAATCATGACAAATCAAGTCTCTTATAAAAATGTCAACGTTTTCCTGACCCATTCAGATGCTCTGACCTGTAAAATCTCAGTGCAAACATTTGAAAGGGATTTCTTAATATGTAATCGTTGTAATCTTTATGTAACATAAAAAAATTAAAAATTAAAAATTAAAAATTAAAAATTCTTTTCTAGAGCATACTATAAAGAAAAAACATGCAGAAGTCAAAATAAATTATAAGCATTATCTACATTTGCTGCTAAAGCTATGTGCTGAAAGGCATTCCAAGTGCAAGTGATCCAGAGGCAGAAAGCACCACACATGGAGGGTTTGGGATAGTTGCCTGGTGTTATGTCAACATTTTCCTCATTCTTCTGCTCCTGGCCTTTCAGTGCTTCTAAGTCTTCCTCAGGCGGATGAATTACTACTGTGGGAATATCATCACTGGCAGATGAAACCAATAGTTCTGGGGCCTGAAGCTGACTCTGCTGAGAAGTTCTGGAGGTCAGGCGAATGGCGCTAGGGCTGGAAGGAGGACTGTTTGGAGGGGTGGGTACTGGGGTTGTACAGCTCGAGCCTGCAGGGGTTCCAGCTCTTGAAGAAGGAAGAAGATGACTGAGAAGAAGAGATAAAGGCGATTCTCCTCTCAATGAAAGTTTTGAGGCAGACAGACCTGTTCGCAAAGAGTGGTGGGAGGCTGAAAGGCCTTCCCCTGAGATAAAACAAATAAATGAAAAATGAAGTTCACCACAGGAGGCAAATACAGACACACACAAAAACCTATGTATACTATAAATCGCAAGTTTGAAAGTTAAAAATTTTAAATTCTATCAAAGCTAGCCTGGCAATCAAAATTTTAAATGTTAGGAAGCTCTTGAAAAATTGCTTAAACTTGGGGTTGGAGAAGATACTACAGTGGGCAGGTCACTAAAGCCCTGAGCACTGCCAGACACGGCATAAACAATTTTAAACAATAAAAAATTTTAAAAAAAAAACAAGGAAAAAGGAAAGAAAACTTGCTTAAACTGTAACTGGTTTCCCTAAAAGTGCATCCAAAAAAATAAAACCAATGAACAAAATTAACAATACATGTTAAGACAATGTCTTTTTAGTAATTAGAATACCCAATAGTATGACTTTAAAAAAATTTTAGGCCAGAAACATATTTCAGTAAAATTAAGCATATGCTTTCTAAGTATGATATTCTGGGTTCCATTCCTGGTAGGAAGAAGGGAGAGAAAAACAAACAAACAAAAAAACACAAAAAACTACCACAAACATGAATTTTCTTTCACCTTACAAAAAAAAATTTAGGGACCAATGAGATAGCACAGCAAATATGGCACTTGCCTTGCATGTGGCTGACCTGGGCTCAATCCTCAGTATCACATCTGGTTTCCCAGAGACAGTGATCCCTGAATGCAGAGCCAAGTACAGCCAGTTATGGCCCAAAATACCCCAAGGTTTTTTTTAAAGGCGCACCAATACAAAGCCACTGCTTAAATAAATAACAAACAGCAAATACAAATATAATACAAAAGTAATCAAATAAATAGGATGACAATCAGAAGAAAATGAATTTTATCTAATACTAGACTGCAAGGAATAATCATTGTCAACTTTAGATATACTACATCCTATCATCTGCAGCTGTTTACTTGTAAAATACTAAAAAAAAAAAAGGAATAACTGTTATTTCAATGACAAGAAAGATGAGAAGAAAGACACCAAGTCCCATTCTCTACTTCCTTTACCCTTCTAGCCTTGGGTAATGACAGCAGCCAGAGGCAGTAACTACCATCATAAACTACTACTCAGCATCTGGCTTTTCAAGAGTCACTGTCATCACAAATCTTTGAGAATGTCAGTGACATATTCCTCTGCTTTAAAAAGAAGAAAGTAAGGAAAGGCAAAAACCTCTAAATGCACCAGACTAAAGACAATGACAGAGATAAATGCCTACAATAACAGTGTTTCTCCACTGTTCTAACCCTTCACTCATCTGGGAATGACATCGGAGAGGTGAAAATAGGAGTATTTTCATGGCTTGGAATATAGTGAAAGATAGAAACAGTCACAAAAATCTTTCAGAAGCCATAGCAAAGAAGGACAGCAATATCCACCAATCAATTTAAAAACAGTTATGTCTAACAAATTTGGTATATTCAGGAGACCCAAAAAAATATTAGGAAAAACCTCATAAAGATAAAAGATTTAAACAAGGATTTAGAATTTTTGAAAGATGATATACATATAAGTCATTAATAAGTCATTAATTTGTATATCTGGCCAACGTTACAAGAATTTCTAAACAAAACCAAAAAAAAAACAAAAAAGCAATAAGTGATTTAGGTTAGGTATAATTAATAGATGTTGAAATGTTACCACTATTTAAGTTAGTTTGTGTTTTTTTTAACAGCGTGAACACTTTTTTTTATTCAATTTCTCTAAATAATGTTGTCCTTTATTGATGGGGAGGGACATTTAGAATAAAATGATAAAATGCCTTATATAATTATCTGGAAAAAAATCTTTCTTTTCCCAAATGTTTAACACACCAAAATGCTATTAAAATAGAGCGCCCACAAAAACTGGATGCCACAACTTATCTCACCATTCCTTTCAAGCAAGTGAGGGTCAGAATGTTTCTTGCCTATATCTGCAAAAGATCGAACAAGGGGAATCCGACTGGCGAATCGTTTCTCATTTTGATGATGATGTCTCTTGAGAAGAGCTTCTCTGACATTCTCCCTTATGGACTCATCCAGTTGGCCAGAGGCTATCATGTTGTCTAATACCATATCTATTCAAAGGGGGGAAAATCAACACCATTAATATTCAGATAATTATGACATAATAAACTATAAATAAAACCTCACATGACATAATATCCTAAGTAGCTCTAAAAATTATTAGTTTTGGGGGCTGGAGAGATAGCACAGCGGGTAGGGCGTTTTGCCTTGCACGCGGCCAACCAGGTTCAATTCCCAGCATCCCGTATAGTCCCCTGACCACGGTCAGGAGTACTCCTGAGTGCTGAGCCAGGAGTGACCCCTGTGCATTGCCAGGTGTGACCCAAAAAGCAAAAAAAAAAATTATTAGTTTCTATTACTAAATTAGATGTATATATACATCTAAACATCTCACAAAAGTGAGCAAATTACGAAGACTCTTGTACTAATAAACACTTTTACAGTTTACTGCTAATCACCTTTACTTTTCATACATGCAAGACATATATGCATGCTACTTCCAAACTACATCCCCAATCCTAATAATTACTTTCTGGAGCTGAAAGCGCTTTCATGAGATGAATACATTAAATTCTATAAAAAAAATTTAATAATACTGATTCCCTAAAAAACAGTGAAAGAGTAATTTTATTGCATTTCCTCATGTTCTGCATCAAAACTATAAGTCAGTATCTAAACTCATTTATTCAATCAAAAACTATTTGAGTGATTGAAGTGTGTTGGGAATATAGCAGTTGACAAAATAGATCAAGTTTCTGTTCTCTTCCAGAGCAAGAAAATCTAATGAACAAAATAAACAAAACTACCATGAAGGAGATAGTTCTAGATAAACAAATATATCAGGTTATGAGGGGCATATATGGAATGGTAACACTCATAGCAATACTGTTTTATACATTATTATAGTGACTGAACTATTTTAAAATTAAAAACATGCATAAATATTTTTAAATAGTGCCACTAATCTGAGATTTAAAAACAACAAGCTTACAAACAAAACTATGATAAGATTGTTATGAAACAGAATCTAGCAAGTAAAGTGTATCTTGAAAACAATGACTACAAGAGCTGGAGAGGTATAATACCATACCTATTCAAAGTGCTTGCCTTGCAAGCAGCCAAACCAAGTTCATCTCCATCACCCCGGATGGTATGAGTTCACCAAAAGTGACCCCTGAGTACAGAGTCAAGAGTAAGCTCTAAGTACAGCCAGGTATGACCTCTAAACCCAAAAAAAAAAAAAATTTTCTAAAGAAAACAGAATATAGTGCTGCACAGCGGGTAAGGCATTTGCCTTGCAGGCGGCCGCCCTGGGTTTGATTCCCAGCATCCCATATGGTCCCCTAAGCACCACTAGGAGTGATTCCTGAGTGCAGAGCCAAGAGTAACCCTTGAGCATCGCTGGGTGTGATGGACGGAAAGGAAAGGAAAGGAAAGGAAAGGAAAGGAAAGGAAAGGAAAGGAAAGGAAAGGAAAGGAAAGGAAAGGAAAGGAAAGGAAAGGAAAGGAAAGGAAAGGAAAGGAAAGGAAAGGAAAGGAAAGGAAAGGGGGAGGGAGGGAGGGAGGGAGGGAGGGAGGGAGGAAGGGAGGAAGGAAGGAAGGAAGGAAGGAAGGAAGGAAGGAAGGAAGGAAGGAAGGAAGGAAGGAAGGAAGGAAGGGGAGGGAGAGGGAGGGAGGGAGGGGGGAAGGAAGGGAGGGAGGGAGGAAGGGAGGGAGGGAGGGAGGAAGGAAACAGAATATAAAGAAAATGACAACAAACTACCGCATATGCATAAAATATTTATGTAACAACTGTCAGTACTAAGGCCAAAATTAAGACCAGATGTCCAAATCCTCTATTCTAACCCTAAAATTTAATTTTCATTTATCCTTAAGATAAGAAAATAAGGGCTGACTGGAGAAGTGGCTCAGTGGTAAAGTATTTGCCTTGTATGCAGAGTACACAAGTTTGATCCCTGGCAAGAAAGTAAAAATGAACTAGTAATTTGATAATTTAAAATTTTGCAGCACAAAGTCCAATCTAACAATCTACCTAGAAATAACTGAGAATTTGATGTAAGCTATGTTCTTTTAAAGATCGAAACTATACATAATTTTGTTTATTCATGGGACCAATTTATAATGATATTTACAGTCCCAAATTCATTATCACTTAATCTATTTAAATTTTAAGCAATTTTGACGAATGGCGAAATAGCTTTATTGTAATTTTTTTCTCCCTATTTCCTACTTCCACAATATTCAGCAAATTTCTCAGTTCTTCATTTCCTCACTACTACTTATGAAGTTCATGATGACTATTCCTAGGACTATTATTAGGACTATTCCTAGAGAATAAATAGCTTATTTGCTAACCTCTTCCTAATCCAAAGCCACATACATATTGTTTCCAGAATTATCTTCCCAACACACATCTAGTTCACACTACCCTCCCAATTTAAAAATCAGTGAGAGAAAATGGCTACCAAAAAAAATTCAATTTCTTTTATTTCCCTTTTTTTAAGTTTTGGGGCCACACCCAGTGATATTCAGAGGTTACTCATGGTTTGGCACTCAGAATTACCCCTGGTGGTGCTCAGGGAACCATCCACTACACTCACTCTGGGGCTCCCAAAATCCAATTTCTAACTCAGTACTTCAAAACTAGTTACAATGCATCTCTACTTTATTTTCCCAACACAGTTCCAATTATTCAAGAAACTGGTTAGTCACATGAAACTTTCCCGTCTACAGAATTCATACCTTTGTATACTTTCTAAACCTTTCTTTCTCCTTATTTCTCCTCAGAATATTTTCCACCTGCTCCTTTGTTCACATGTGTTCAAATTCAATGACTACATTGTATAATAATTGTGCACTGGATCTTCTTCCAGATACATTTAGAAAACAAAGAAACAAAATCTCTTTTCTCAGCACTTCCAGTACCCAATTCTATATCTTACAGCAGTCATTTTCTTCTGGATACTGTAGTTATGTCTATCTAATCTAATTTTCTAGACACATAGCTTACCAAAATTAAAAGTGTCTTTCCCTCATACTACCCCCTGCAAGAAATGAAACCTCAGCATAAAGCAAATAAATCGTCTTAAATTCTAATTCATGTTCCTTTTTTTTAAATATCTCTAATCATAGCCAATATTTTAAAAGTCAACTTGCTATAACCTGCTATTTCATCAAGTGTGCTTGCTCTCATATCCAGCATGACAGTTCCATTCAGGATGCAACTTCTTAACTCAAAAAGACTGTGCAAAGAAAGAGTTGCCACATAAGGTTTACTCCATCGGTCACCACCATCTTCGACATCTTCTTCAAATTTTAACCATCTGAAATGGATAATATATAAGAATATTTTATATCTAATGAGAATTCTAGTTGTTTAATATGATAGAGCTATATTTACACAGCAAAACAAAATTTGGTTTCAAATACACATTTTTTTTTTCACAAATTAGACTAGTGGGCAACAATATTTGCCACTGCAAGTTACCTTTCAAATATTTTCTTTTGTTATTCTATCACCATAGGTCTATAAACACAAACTAAAAGTAGTTTCTACCTCTAATCTTTTAAACTTAAAATATGAATTTTATATTAAAACTGAAATTTTTTCCTCAAATTGGATTTATCAAAGACATTAAAATCTATGATAACATAAATTCCTCTTATGAAACATAAGCCTTTAAAATTACTTCAGGAACAAACTTTCAGAGGAGAAAAGATTATAGATAATTTTCAGACATGAATTAACTGCACATTGTTTTAAGCATAACTTCAATGATATATCCTAAAAGGTCTATTGAAAACTGAAGCTCAGTATTACTACCTGGCAGTTTCTTTCCATTCATACTCTTCGCCATCTCTGTAACACAGTTCATCCATTTCCGTAAAGAGATCATGAGGAATATGTTCTTCATCATCATCTTCAGTACCAAGGATAAACTGAACTCTTTGGGATGGTGTATCTTGACAAAGCAAAAAATAAAAGCATTCACAATTTCTCTCAATTCATTAAAAAGCAAATTCATAGTTTCGAAGTTATATATAGTCCATCAAAACTCATTAAAGGATTACAGAAAAATTGCTTCACAGAAAAAAAAGAATAATTTATGTTCAAAATAAGGAAGTCAAACTAATTAAACATTAAACATAAAAATAACATACCAAAATACTTTGTTCAAACATTGCTTTTCCCTCACTAAAAATATGTAAGAATGTTAAATAGGACATTTAAAATATGCAATTATTATGCAGCTAAGATGAAATTTAAAAAACAAACAAACCTTAAGTTCAAAAACTGATGAGAAAACTCAAAGCTAGCTGTGTACAGAAATGCTTTCTCTTACTATCACGGAGAAGCAAAACTGCCTGCTGAAATTAGCAAGTAAGAACAAGTCACTGTAAGAAACAGTCCACTAACAGCATCTGAATTAGATCAACCCATTTGGTATAGGATCCCCAAACAGAAATTTGTAGATTCTAGTCCAAAATAGATGAAAAAATTTAAGCAGTCAGTATAAATAGATGAGGAAACTACCATATGCATCAATTAGAAACAAAGTAAAATCCTACCAAAGATGAAAGAGAAATCTGTTCACAATTTACATTTAAGTAAACAAACATCTAAGTATACTTGCAGGTGCAACAAACAGGAATATTAGAACAGGTTAAAAAGTTAAAAAGAAGGAATTGTTAACAGACAAGACAGATCTGCAGAAACAGCACAAAAATATCAAGATGCTGGAAACATAAAAGCTCAAATGATATGAGAGAACAGACTAAGAAAATCTCCAGAGAAAAATAAACTATAAAGAAGGAATTATGGGAAACGTATCTAGAAAATTTCCAAATATAAATGATATAACTCCTCATGTAAAGAATGTTATTCTATCACCATAGGTCTATAAACCTAGACATATGTAGTGCGTGACCAAACAAAAACACATTGTGATTGAACTTCCTTGTGTTTTGAAACTTGAAACAGTCATATCTTGCATAGCTCTTGCTAGCTTTATTCCCAACTAATATTTTAATGTTCACTGCTGCTATACTAAATATAACTGATTCTTTACATTTCATTTATTTATATCCCACATGTTTAAACTAAAGTTTCCATTTTATAAAAAATTCCTGAGAAATATTTAGTCTGTGGCTTATATCCCTGCAACATCTTTATCTAGTGTGGATATCAGGATAGTGCTAGATTCACAGATGAACTGGCAAGTATGCTGTCATCTTCGATTTTCTAGTAGTCTGTGTTATTTCCCCTTACATGTCCAATTAGATTTATCCATGATTGGAAATAAATTTTATTGAGGAAATGTTTTAGACAAAAATTCCAACATACAGGGTAATTTAAGTCATCCACGTCTCTTCTTCACAGCTTCTATTCTTAACATGTTTCCCATGTTATTAAAATCATCAATTCTGTGGGCCATGAATCCTTCAAAACAGTCCCTCATTAACTTTTTAATAGAACCCAAAGCAAGAATGATCTGATACTGGTAATTTTATATTTTTTTCTCTCCTGATCACTATGGCTATAAACTTTATCAAGATTCCTACACTGATCATTTTCGTTTGTTTGTTTTGGGGCTACACCCCAGTGTACTCAGGGATCACTCCTAGGAGAGCTCAGGGACCATTCGCAGTACAGAAGACCAAACTGGGGTTGCGACAATGACTTATTATTTCTCAGCCCTGAGCTGATATTTTCAGGAAACCAGATTTCAATCTGACTTTTATGATTGTTTTTCGAACTCTTCTTTAACTCATGTTGATTTCGTTTGTACTGTTCTATATTTTTCTTACTTTAGCACAGCGGATAGGGCGTTCGCCTTACAAGCGGCCAACATGGCCGACCCGAGTTCGATTCCTCCGCCCCTCTCGGAGAGCCCGGCAAGCTACCGAGAGTATTGGATATGCCAGACACAGTAACAACAAAGTCTCCAATGGAGACGTTACTGGGCCCGCTCGAGCAAATAGACGATCAACGGGAGGGCCTTTACCTTTACCTTACCTTTACCTTATAGTTTTGTTTACTCTTAGTTTAGTAAGTTTAAATTACTGATTCAACATATTTCCTCTTTTTTTCCCCATATTTTGGCAGTGCCTAATGTTTATTATCAGGTGGCATTCTCTTCCTTCTATCTACAGTATGCCATTTTTCATGCTATTTTCCTTTATCTATTGACAGGTCTATATATCTTTGCTCTCCAGCAGAATTCCTGTTCTTCTACAGGCAAAACTATCAAATCACACACTCTTAAGCAATATGACTTCAGTAGGAAAATTCTTCTAGGCAACAAAAAATACATTTAAAAAAAGTCTCTTCAAAGAGTCTGAGGATTCCAACTGTCTGTTCACTGAATATTTAAATAATGAAACCCATAAACAGAAAAGAAATAAATTCATACTAATCCTCAATGCATATAATGCATCTAAACTGTTTGAGGCATCAATTTTTAAAAAGAAATATTCAATTAAATAAAACAAAAAACCTCTGCAAGAAAAAAAATTTTAAATTGCACATAGAAAATTAACTGTTGTCTCTCACCATAAGAAGGAGATTCCCGACCATCTTCTCTATCTGATTCTTTATCTTTTCTTTTCCGGTGATGATGCTTGTGTCCACGATGCTTATGGCGCCGACGGCTCTCTTTACTAAACGGGACATGAACACCAACATACACAGCTCGGTGACCTGCCAAAAAGTTGGGAAACAGTGGTTCTCCAAAAGGGAAAAAGAAGAGGTGGCATGCATAGAAATATATGCCCAGCTTTATTGTGATAACAAAGATAGAAATATAAGTTAACATAAATTAACAATCTGTTATTTTTCATATTTCATAAGGCACACTAGGCAGAATATTATAGTATTACCACTGACTGGTAAACAAATTAAATATAAGGCGCTGTGTAAGCATTTTGTTTGCTAATCTACAAGTATTTTTAAGAAAACTGAGTTCTACCAATCTGCAACTGTACCATTTAAACATAAAAATATTCCATTTACACTTGTGGCAAACATTAAGCAATATGCTTCAATAATATTCAAGTACTTGACAATCCATATTCATAGATGAATTTATAAATACTTTAAGTTCTGAAAATCTCAAAGCAAAAGGATTCAAATGACTGGGGCCTACATTAAATAGAAGTAAATGTGAACATTCCAATTCAAAATTAGAAAGCATCACACTAGATCAGAGGGCAATACAGTAAGACTAACATATCCTTTTAAAAAGAAAAAAACTACTCCTTTTTTTTTTTTTTTGCATTGTCCTGACTGTACTTGGCCAACAGATCAGTTCTGAGAGGCTTCTCCTCCCTAAAGTGAAACCCAATAAGGGAGCCACAGAGTTAGAAGCACTATGTTTAGTACTGAAAGCCCAAAGACTTGATTTTTTTGTATGGGAGATGGGGGTAAAAACCTCCCAATGGGTGCTTAGGAGATCCTAGGCCCCACCAGTGAATCTCAGACAGCTGGGCCACTGGTTCAGCACAAGGGCCTAAGGCTGACACACTGCTGGTACCCTGCTGTGTCTAGGACACCCAAACCTCCCCTGCAATACTCATGGGGCCGCCACAACAAGTGCACCTGGCTATGCTCAGGGGACCACGTAGCACCAGGAGTCAAACTAAGGATGCAGGCACTTCCCAGGAATGTGCTCTAACCACTATCCTATCTCCTGGCATTTCAGCTTAATTTCTTAACTAGTTTAAATATGTATCTTTATATAAGTTGTGTTGAATAAGAAGGGCTTCACATTTATGATTGGCAATTAATTAAAAAAAAACCTCTGGCAAATGTCACTGCCCTGATATATAAATTAGAAAATTAATATGACATATAAATAGCTAATGACATTATTTTCCAAATAAAATTTTATACACTGGTCAAAAATAAGTACTTCAATAAACAAAAAATGTTCATCTTTATTTTTTCCAGTGTGAGTTTTGCTTTCAGTTTCTGGTGCTCAGGGCTTGCTCCTGAGTTCTGCACTCATGAATCAATCGAGGTAGTGCTCAGAGAACCACATGCAGTACCAGAGGTCAAGCTGGAATGGCAGAGTGCAAGACAAGAGCCTTCTTCCCTCTCCAGCCCCCAGAATGCTCATCTTCAAAGGAGATGTGAAAGTAATCACTCATTAATACCTGTGGATTCTGTATTCGCAAATTAATTGACTCAGTGAAATATATGTGTAACCTCACCATCAATACTCATTGATTCTCATTTACAAGCATGCCTAGGGCAGCAAAACAACAATCTTACAGATGCACACATTTCGAAGACTGAAAAAGTGAGATTCTGAACTTTTTCAACTGGCAGTTTAAAATCCTTTAAACGTTTCACAGTACTCAATATGGTAAGCACTCAATATAGATTTGTAGGTATTAAATATAAATAATTTAAATAAATTTCACCAGAAAATTCAAAATTTTAAAAACCAGATTATGTAATATTTGGAAGAACAAAGGAAATGTTCTTGAATTAGAGTGATGACTGTTGTACAACAATGAATATTATACTAAAAACAGTAAATTATGTTTAATTTTATCACAATAAATTTTGTATAATTATATCACAATGTTTTATTAAAATGTAGTAGATTTTAGTTTTATTTTCAGTAAGATTACTTTTTTCTACCACCAAAAAAACCAACTAAATTAAAAGAATCAAATTCCTATCACTTATGTATCGAGAGATGTTCCTCCAATTGGTACTAATGGTTTTTGGCATGCAAGCCCCAATGCACCAAGATAAAAGTAAGTTCTTTCCTCTCTGAATCACTAGGAAAGAGGACCTGCGTGAGATGGGGAACAATCTCTCCCTAGAGCCCCTCTGCTTTTATTGTTAAAATGATGACTTTGTTCTACAATAAAGCTTAATAAGTTCAAACATAAATAACTTAATCTACAATTAGAAAGACTAAGAATCAATAAGAATCTTGCAGAATCTAAAGTTTAAGAAATCATAACTCACTGAGGTCTTTTTCCCCCTGCCCTTAATGTTCTGCTACAAGTTTTATCTTTTTTTTCTTTCCTTTGACTTTATTCCTTTAAAGGCAGTTCAACTGCTCAGATAAACATCATCCATCCTTCAAATTCAATAACAAAATTTAGATTTGTACAAAGTATGAAAAGTGAATAAGCCTAGAGCAATCAAGGGAAGCCAAGAAAATATTCTAGGTCACATATAATTCAATAGTACCAATATATCAAGATGATTGGTATTTAAAAATCTGGGAGCAGGGGGCAGCCCTTCCAAGTAGTGCTCAGTGGGCCTGGGTCCACTCCAGGCAATTCTCAGTCAAATGGGCCAGACGGTTGACTAGAGGGTGTGCTGTTGCTTGGTGCTTCTAGTGTCAAGGACCACCAGGGCCATACCTAGCATTGCTGAGAGAAATTCATGGCCACGGCTATGCAGTGCTCAAGGGGCCCAAATGGTGTCAGTGCTTAAAACAGGGTCAGGTGCATGCCTTAGTCTATTTCTTTGGTCCCATAAAATTTAACTTTAATGATCTTCAAAATTTATAAAAAGGAGGTGCCAAACAGATGGTACAGTGGTTAGGGCACTTGCACTGCACAAAGAGGATCCACTTTCGATCCACAGCATTCCATATGGACCCCAAACCTGCCAGGAATGACCCCTGAGTACAGAGCCAGGAGTAAGTCCTGAGCACTGTAGGGTGTGGCCCAAAACCAAACAAAAAATGTGTAGAAATTAATTAAAACTTTCTAACTAAGTGAAGTTAGAAGTGTGTAGTAGGTAGGGTATTTGCTTTGCAAACAGCTAATCCAGGCTCAAGCCCTGTACACCCCCGGGTCTGAACAAAACAAAACCAAAGAAAAGAAAAGCAGCAGCATTAAGCCTAGACGCGTCTTACTTTTTTAGCTTTTGGTATTTGGGCCATTCACAGTGGGCTTGGGGCCACTCTCAGCTCACTGCTTGGTGGAACCATGCAATATCAGGGATCAAACTTGGGCTCTTACATGCAAAGGAAGTACACTGACTATAAGTTTTCTGAAATCTAGATTTTTAAATTTTTTAAAAACAGGGTTTTTTGGCTTTTTATTTCCCAATTTCATAAAGTAAATGTAGAAAATTGTCCTGCTGTATCTCTTTACATTTCTTTTTAAAAACAACTGATAAACTCCTATGATACCAGGTCAACTTAAGGATGTTGTTCTCAGTGTTAGGGAAATGGTGATAAAGGCTGGAATGCAAGTCGGCATGCAGAGGCCAGCTTTGATTCCTGGTACCACATGGTCTCCTATGCACCACATGAGTGGTCCTGATGGTCCTGAGCACCACTGTAGCATCTGAAAGGCACCAAAGTATTATCTGAGTAGGCCCCAAGGCACCCTGTGTACCACACAGAGGAAGCGACTCCCCTCAAAAAAGAATGCAGTTCTCAAAAAAAAAAATCCCAAAACAAACCCCATCAAAATATCTGCTATGAATGCATGATAAAGAAGTTTTGGTGTGTATACATAATGGAATATAATGCAACTGTATGAAAAGATGAAATATCAGTCTTTGCTACAACTTGGATGGAACCAAAGGTTATCATGTTAAGTAAATCAGAGAGAGGGAAAGAATAAAGAGCAAATGATCTTACTCGTCTACACTAGGAAACTAGGAAAGAAGGGAATAGGTGATATCAGAAGCTGACAAATACTTGGCCTCGGATTAAATTTGGTTTAATGTTTACCATGCATAAGTGTAAAGGAAAGAAGAGAAGTGACATCAGGACAGTGGTGAAGGGTCTTGGTCACTTCGATGCTGGGGAAGATACAGTAACTTTGTACATCAAAACCATAAACATTAACAATATCGCAATTGCAACCATATTATATAAACTGGAATAAAACTTTTTAAAGAATAAAGTTAACATCAGAAAGTGCTGAATGGAGGTACAAAGGAATGCTATCATTAAAGTAACTCTATTAAATCTAAAGTTATTTCAAAAAGAAATCATTTGGCATAACTTCTACTTAGCAGTAATAGATACTGGCAAAAATAATTAAGTTACTCTATGGCCAGATTATTACAATATTTTACGGGCTTAAATAACAGATATATACAAAATGAACATGTTGATGCTAACTCTGGTTTATTAGTCTAAATTCTGGTTTGTTCAGAATAAAAACTGCTAAACATGAAAAAAATAAGAAATTAAATGACACTGTAACTAAGACATTTCAATTTTCCAAATTAAACAATGGTAACCATCAGTGAAATTTTAAAACTATTTAGAAACCTAAGCCACACCAATACTTTCAGTTTCAAGGGTGTTTTTTATTGCATTGAATAAACCTTGCTTATTAAAATCTGAAAACTTAAGAATATAATATAGTTTACTGCACAAAACAACAAAATACTACACAAAACAACAAAAAAATTTTCAACAAAGAGTGGGAATAGCTTAAAGGAACAGTAACATAGTAACAGACATTCATTCCTAATTTATCCTACTAAGCACAAGAAATTTTGGTTTTCTATCTAACCCAGATTTGTGGGGTCACGCTCAGAAATGCTCAGGGGTTACCCACAGAAGTGCTGGGCAGCGGGGGAATCATTTAACACCAGGGGAGGAACATAGGCCTCAGCCCTTTGAGTTATCAATCAACAGGTTATTTTAAACAAACTTACTTTCTAGTTCTTCTTTTTCAAACTTGGTGTTCACAGTTGAACTGGTTTTGCCAAGATCCACAACAGCTTCTTCATCAGGACCCTAAAAAGAAATCATTCTCTTTCACTCATGAAATCATTATGCACTCGAGACGAATAGACAGATTATTTGAGACAGCCAGCACAGTGAGTAGAGGCTACCCTTCCTCTACACTTCGGCAGTTGCTCTCGCTACAAACCTTGGTGCTCAAGGAACCAGGCAGTGACATAAACTAAAACCAGGTCTCCTGACGGCACTAAGTCCACTGACTTCTGTCTGGCCCCATGTTCCTCTTCCCTAATCTATAGAAAACAACCCCAAAATTTCATATGAAGAGGTGACAAAATTTTTACTTAGTTTTCTGTGAAATTCACTAAGCAAACTGTTATTTATTCTCTTTAACAGAAAGAACGAAACTTAAAAATGCAAGGTGCAAGGGATCCTTAAATGTCAATATTGAGTGCTTTCTTGATTTTTGCTGTTAAGTACTCTACTCAGCTCTAAAATATTGGATTATGGTTGAAAATAAAATTGTTCAAAATGCACAGTAGGCTGGCCATAAAGCAACATTTTAACACATAAGTTAACAAGAGCCAATCTGATCTACAAAACAATTTTATTTCTCTACATAAAGTCATGCCAAAACTTAGAATTCTAAGATTCTTAGCTTTGAATTCTAAAATACTCCCCCCAACTTTTCTTCCTTTTTTTTTCAGGTCAAAGACTAAATATATTTATCACAAAATACTGCTGCAGAATTTTAGTTTAAACTTCCCTTATCAGTTCCCAAATTAACTTTCAAAGGAGCATTACAACCATCAAAAACAACTTGCTATGACATAATACACAAGATTCTGTATTACAAATAAAAAATGAATAGTTACTTATGATTCAGCTCAATAAGTCTTCAATATGAAGAGAACCTAATATGAAGCCCCAAATTACTATGAGCCCTCACCCAGCATAAGAAAAAAGACAGTATCGACAATAACAACCCCTGGCCTTGGATTACAATACTACTGTATGTAATGACCTATCTAAAGGTAATTGAGATGCAGTGGTGGAGGGTCTTCAGCGATTTGGGGGTAGGAGGTCAATGACTCTATATCAAAACCACATACTTTGGCACTAATGTGACTAACCCCTGTAGCACTGTCCTCCCATTGTTCATCGATTTGCTCGAGCGGGCCCAGTAACTTCTCCATTATGAGACTTTGTTGTTACTGTGTTTGGCATATCGAATACATCAAAGGTAGCTTGCCAGGCTTTGCCATGCGGGTGAGATACTCTCGGTAGCTTGCTGGGCTCTCCGATAGGGGTAGAGGCAAGCTATCAAAAATATTTTTCCTTCTTGGGGACTGGAGTGATAGCACAGCGGGTAGGGCGTTTGCCCTGCACGCGGCCGACCCGGGTTCGATTCCGAATCCCAGCATCCCATATGATGCACTGCCAGGAGTAACTCCTGAGTGCAGAGCCAAGAGTAACCCCTGTGCATCGCCGGGTGTGACCCAAAAAGCAAAAAAAAAAAAAAAATTTCCCTCTTGGAGAGCCCAACAAGCTACCAAGAGTATCCAGTCCACATGGCAGAGTTTGGCAAGCTCCCTGTGGCGTATTTGATATGCCAAAAACAGTAACAAGTCTCACAATGGAGACGTTACTAGTGCCCACTCAAGCAAATTGATGAACAACGGGAGGACAATGCTACAGTGCAGTGCTACTTTAAGATTACAACTCTACCTGTTAATGCAGAGCAAAATTATCAACATCCAATAAAAATATTTCATAATGAAAAATAAGTGATTTCACTTGAAATGAGAATTATTTGTTATTGCTTGTGCTATCAATGTCTTTAAGTAAACTTACATAACAAATTAAAGTTAAAATATTATAAGAAGGGGTTTGGGGAGAAAGTTCAGTAGATAAAGTGTTTTCCTTACACACAGCCAACCTATCTTAGATCCCTGGCACCCTCTATAGTCTCCCCAAAGCCCTGTCAGGAGTGATTCCTGAGCATGGAAGGCGTGACCCAAAAACCGAATTTAAAAAATTATGTAACTGCAAAAATATAGGTACATATTAATATTCGGAAGACTAAACATCAAACCACTGGCATTGTCTCACTCTGGGAAAGCAGTGGGGAATAACAGCAATAAACAATCCTAATGTGTTCAATTTTTGTTTACAACAAACATGCCTTACTTTCAGTGATTAAAAAAAGTAAATTCAAATTTTAGTGCTGTTTAGTTATTTTTAACTTTTCATTTAGAAAACAACTCTCTCTTTAACTAAAATAATAAAGTAGGGAAGCTAAAAATAAGACTAAAGAGCAACCTCTGACATTAAAATGTTTTCATTCTTAACCTCAGACGACTGCATCACACAGGCCTGTGCAAATAAAGTCTACCTGAAATGAAATTAAACCGAAGTACAGTGAGAAACACAAATATGCAGGAAAAATTAAAAGAAAACTTTATCAAAGCAACATGATTAACCCTAACCTTAAAAAATATTAACATTAAGATAAAAATGGATTTGTATATAAAACAACACAAATACACTATTTTTCTCAAGATGCCAAAGACAATTTATTGAAATCATATAAATAACAGTGTGGTGAGTTTCCAAATCACTCCAATTCCCAACCCTACTACCAAGTGTTATTACTTAAAGTACTAGAGCTATTTCAGTATCTTGGGAAAAAAAAAAAACAAAAGCTTAAGAGTGGGGCAATTAATTTTTTTATAAACCCAGTTAAAGAGAAAAACGATTAACACCAGTTGATAAGATGAAAAGCCAAAGAATAATATTTGTATCTTCTAAAGAATTTACAATTAATTATTTTAAAATAGACACAGGAAATATAAAAGTTATATGAAAAGTAGTATTGGAAATTTTAAATTCAGGCAATCATGTGACTAAGTAATAGATACAATCATTTTTAAGTTTTAAATGCCCACAGAAATATTAAAAAGCCTCAGGTGAAATATTTTGTCACCAGAGGGAGAAACAGGTCCAGACACTGGAACAGAAAGTTTCAGAAATGCTTACTCCAAACACCATGACTTACATGAAAGACACTTTGTGTTTAAGAAAAGGCATCATGTGGAAATAGATAAGGAAAAGAGTCTGGTGAAAGCTCTGTGTTGGTACTCAGTATGCCTTGAATGCTCAAGCCCCCGGTTCAATCCCAGACACCACAGGATCCCTTGACAGTCTCTGGGTATAGTCCTGGTGGTTACCCACTCTGTGCTAAGTACCAGGCTAAGTTTGAATACCTGGAAGTGGGCCATGAGCACTGATGTGAAGGTTCAAAAGAAAATCAAAAAAGGAAGAGAAGAAAGTCCAAAGAGAGGTGTAAGAGATAAAAATTGGAAAGTATGCAGAGTAAGAAATTGCCACAGAGGCAGTGGTGGAATGGGGTGTGGGTGGCAGGAGGGATACTAGGGACACTGATGGTGGAAAATATACACCAGTGGAAGGATGGGTGTTCGATCATTGTATGACTGAAACTCAATCATGAAAGCTTTATAACTGCATCTTAGGGTGATTCAATAAAAACGAAACTGGCAAGTATGGACCAGGATATAATACAAAGGGATGCAGTCCCTGCTCTATATGGGAGAGGCCCATCACAACATGCTCATGACTATGCCCACCCCTTATCCCACCAAGTGTGGCCCTCAACACTCCTGAGTCTGAGAAATACCGAATCGCTGGTCTGAGAGCTGCAGGCCTGAGTATTACCAGCAATGACCCTCTCTGGGCCTTAAAGCACCACTGGGGAGGTTCTATTAGAGAAAAAATTAGCAAGTAATAACCTTCATAGAGCAAACTGCTCTTACAGTTTATTGTCAAATGCCTCCTAATAAAGCATAAGAGACAAATGTAAAGTCTTATCAGGGTCCTACCCCAAACTATACATTGTGAATACCACACTGTTTTAAGGGGTGATGTATGCAAGTTTTCAATCAGCACATAAGCACCTTAGTCTGACCGAAAAAAAAAACACAAGAATCACTTAGACTTATCTAGTATGTGTAAATTTATTAATAGAAATAATGAAAAAAATAAAATCTATTTTTAAAATGGATTTTAATTAAAAAAAACCATCTCGGAACTAAGTCCTATACTAATTTCCTCCCCATTTGGGGAGTTTCTTTCTTTAACCTTTCCAATAAGCCCTTCTATTTCAAATAAATAAATTAACTATCTCAGATTGGGGTTTGATCTTCTATATTCAAAAAAAAAACAACACCCTATCTCAATTCTACTAGTAATTAAAATGTAGGGACAGTCAATGCAAAAGGAAAACACACACAAAGATACAGCAGACATCAGTGAACGGAGGTCCACATCTCAGTCAGTAAGGTCTTCTTATGAAAGGTTTGCAGGGTCCCACTGCCCTTTTCTGCTAAGAGACAACAGGAGAGAGCCAGAAAACCACTTAGCAATACGGTCTGCTTGGTCCATTCTTCTTCTCAATGATTTCTTTCCCATCTTTTCCATCAAAGAAGTCTCATCAGATCAATCTTCATTTTTGAAGTAAAACAAGTTTATTTGGTAAATAAACAGGGGGAAGGAGAAAGGTAAATGTATGTGTTCAGAAGACTAAGGGTCTCTCTAGAGTGGGAGAAAAGCAAAGCACAAATCTGAGGCAGGGATGTGCAGATCATTTCCTGGCACCCTAAAGTCAGTCAGATCACATCTCAGAAAGGTGAAGACCAAAAAGGCAAGATTAAGAACGTACACATATCAAGAGGAGATGTGGGCAAATATGTCTAAGTATAAGTCTTTAGAGACTGGGAAATAAAGAACTCATCCATCGAGTATTTACTGAGAGCACACTATATGCCATGTATTATTACTAGTAGAGAGAATTTTATCAATGAATGAAAAACCATAACAACCAAATGCGTAGCTTGATTACCAGTTTATTCAGAGCTAAGATATACCCTTGATAAGAATCTGGCAGTAAATTTTCTTTTCTATTCTTAATGAATAAGACCAACCAATTTTTGTTTGTTTTTATATGTTTGTATGTTTGGTCTATGACACACAAACAC